TATTCTCCCGAGAAGCTAATTATTTGTTGTTGTAGCGGCAGAAGTCTGCCAAGTTGGCAATTCTTGACTGGAAAAAAAATTCGGGTCCGTTCCGGTTACGTAGACCCGACTGTCGATGTCGAACAGTCGATGCCGGACAACTATAGCACATAGCTGCTACACAAACGGAACGATCGGATTCTAATACTCAAGTGGGAAACTTTTTCATTTGATGGTATCTTCAGAAAAAAAAATCAAGCACTTGTAGGGAAAACTCTTTTATTTGAAAATATATCATCAGGAAATTCGGCACGAATAGTTGTCCAAGGCAATGGTACAATCGTCGAAAATATTGTTCAGATTGAACCACTATAGCATATACATAGTTGTCATACAAATTGAGTTATTGGAATAAAGTACTTGTATGGAAAATTTTTTCATTTGACAATATATTTTCACGAAATTTGCCGTGGATTATTGTCTAAGACGATGGAACAACCTGAGAAGAAATTGTTTACATTGGACCATTACATCTTATAGCTGTCATACAAACTGAACGCTTAAAATCAAGCACTTATATATACTTATATATATATATTATAGCACTAGCTGCTACACAAACGGAACGATCGGATTCTAATATTCAAGTGGGAAACTTTTTCATTTGATGGTATCTTCAGAAAAAAAAAATCAAGCACTTGTAGGGAAAACTCTTTTATTTGAAAATATGTCTTCAAGAAATTTGACACGAATAGTAGTTCAGGGCAACGGAACAACTTCAGAAGGAATTGTTCAGATTGTACCACTATAGCATATAGCTGCCGTACAAACAAGCCAAACAAAATCGACTCTAGTATATAAATTTTTTTATTTGTATAGGTTATTATAGCTGCGGTGCAACCGAAGTCAACGATTTTTTGGTTTTATTTATTTATGTACGTTTTGTATATATGTACATACATACAAAACTATAGTGGAGTATGCTCTACATATATTGCTGTAAATGTTTTTCGCGTTTAGCTCAGGCATTTTTTCACACAATTTCAATAGCATTTTCGTTTTAGATTTTTTTAGTTTTTGCACTCACTTTTTTTCACATACACACGTACTCATGACATTTTTTACTTATGATTTTAATTTTATTTTTTTATTCTACTTTACTGTTGCTTTGCATTTTTTAACACTTTTGTTTGTTAGTTGTTCGCCACCCACAAAATTTATATGCGATTATCTAACAATTTCTACGCTGCTCAGCTGGAGACGCTGCGTTCTTCAAATCAAATAAATGCAAAACTGTGTTTCACTACACACAATACTTGAAGCTTTTTTTTGTTTGTTTGCGGCCTTTTATTTGTGTTGCTATTGATTTTTTCGTTTGTTTCTTAATTTAGCTCTAACATTATTTGTATTTCTTCGATTTTACAAACGCGTGTTTTGCTTTTCACGGCATGCCACACACAAAAACACATATATTTTTTGTATATTCTTGATGTTTGACACCTTCACATTTCACACTTTTCAACACAGAATGTTAAACAATGCGCATTTGAATAAACTAACAACTCTGCTGTAACAGTATATTCGTCATAGCTGCAAAATGAATTGTTATCACCAGTTTTGACCTTTTTTTCGTGCAAGTTGTGCGTCTCAAATGCACACGAAGCGCCGCGTTGAAGCATACAACACATTTGTGGACACCTTTGCAGGCACACCCATACAGGCGCGCATACACACATGCACACAGCTACGTCACTCGTTGTGGACTTGAACACCCAAAATGAAGCGTCAAAACCGAATTAAAACAACAAGAACAAAAATACATTGAGAACACAGCAAGCTATCAGTAACGAATTAGCAGCAAGTAGAAGTGCGCGAAGTACAACAAAAACAAAAAAACGAACTCTTTCAATTCGAAAAGATATTAAATTAAAATAATTTAACGCAAACATTGTTTAAGCAGGCGTTTTATGTTTTCCCCAACAACGCCATCAAGCAACTGCATATACACAGCACTTGTGTATGTATATATGTAGCACACAGTCCTCTAAACTCAAGCGACACACACCTAACTGCACTACATTTGTGTGCTGAAAAAAATGCTTTACGCTTTTCCGTTGCGTTGCCAGCGCTCTTTTTAACGTTTTCCGCGCTCAGACACGTTAACGACGAGTTGAAAATGAAGACTGTTCGCACTCTGCACGCTACCCTCATAAAAAGGCGCTGTTGCTGCTGCTGTGGCGCTGACACCGCTGTCATTGGTTGCTCCCGCAATCGCTGCAAGCGCGATTTTTTAGTACTCGCTGTGCTGTCGTGCCGCGCTCTCGCATGGCCCACCGACTCATGAATGAAACTGTTGTTGTTACCCCAAAAGAACAACAGGCAGTGCTCTTCGGCGCTCATAGCGGCACATGCCCCAACGGCAGCGGTTTGGCAAGCGGCGAGAGCGCGTTTGTTTTTTGTATGGCGCTCCTGGTAAAGCACACTCCCGCTTGGCTTTGCCTTTGGCTGTTGTAGCTGCTGGAGCGAGCTGCGTGTTTGTTTGTTGCCTGCGGTGCTATCGTGCTTAATACACTGTACGTGTGTGTGTGTTGTTTGCACTCCAATTGCCAGTGGCGAAGAGCGTGCGCGCTGTATTCCACTGTGTTGGCCAGTTTTCCCCAAGTTTACGAACATATGTGTGTGTTTGTGTTGTTTGGGCTTTGGTGCATTTCCTGCGTGTGTGTTTTGTTTTCATTCTTAAGTAATTATGTGCATATGTCTCTTCGTTCGTGTGGGTGTCTATCGGTGTGCGCATGATTTTTAGTACAGTTATACTGTCAAAGTGGGGAAATTTCTTTAGACAATGTCTAGACTGCGGATAAACCTAAACAAGACACTCTTTATATTAATTTATTTCAAAACATATGTATAATGGAACATAATTTGGGTTAGAATACGAAATGTTAGGTTAGGTTATGTTCAGTTGATAAGAATTTATGTTGAGAAAAAAAACCTTATTGTGCCCTATTGCCAAAATGTTCGCATAATAAAGCAATAAATTAATTATATTTTCATATAATTTATATACTGTACGAATTTGTATCTATTGTATTTCTTAATCCCTGGGGCACGAAATGTCGACGAAACGTTTGTCAAGAACTTTCTAAACCGATATAAGTTTTCGAAAACAATGCTTTACTCAAGCCAGAAAAAATAAATACCTATCTTTCTCAAGGTTCTATTTACGCAAACAGCCTAAAAGTAGACCCTATACATATTTTTACTATTCTTAGTACTTTATATTTAATTGCACTTTTAAGAGCTAAGAGCAGATCATTTTTATTATATAATTAAAATTTAAACATTCAAAAACCCTCTCATGACCATAATAAAGACTTAAAATTAAATAATAAGTTAAGAATATTAAATTTATTGCACAATTTTAGGTAAATTGTTAGTATAATATTTTATTGGCATTTAAATTTCAAAATCTATTAATTCCCAGCAGAGTTACGCCACGAGCAATAGTATTCACAGTTCAGGAATGCAAAAGTATAAACTAGAAGGGTAGTTGAAACCATGAAGCTTAAATGTGAATAAAATACTCCTTCATTAAAATGGCCTGATCAAGAAAGGGCATTAAGCCAGCCCAAAATGTGGATATTTGTTAAATCAATTTATCATACTGATAATTTTTCCCCCAATTGCCATATTAGCCGCTATTTACAAGGCCTTTTCAACCACGTAGTCTACTTTTGGGCGCTAAGTCATACTTTGTATAAAAGCATGTCAACAATGCATTAATTTGATACAAATATATTTATGAGAAAACATACGTTAACTTCTTTTTTATATTAACAGTTATTGCAAATAATATTTTGTTAGAAAATTTTATTTTCTTGCATAAAACTATTTTCTCACGAATTTTTCCATTCGTACACTACCATAAACATTTCGAACATATAACTCGTCTCGAAAAAATCCCAACGAACCATAAATATCCCAAGACGTGCTGACAAGTAAACAAACAAATACATAAACAATGCCGAGCAACTGTCACCTGTGCGTGCATGACATAACAAGACAAGTGAATGGCAGAGAGCGTAACGCACCGAACTCAAATGAGCGTGCGCCAACAAAAAGCTAACAACAAAGCCAGTGGCATTTCCCAAACAACCGACAATGACAACAACAACAGTTGAAGCGAGTTCTCCGGTAGAGAATGAGTGGCTGTAAGCGAGCATTGAACGCTCAACACGCACATTGTGCTGAGATTGATTTTGGGGTTCAGCTGATGGCAAAGATGGCTTAGCACCGAGTCATGGCATTTTCACGGCGGGTTAAATAACAGTAAAATGTGGTAGAAACTTTTGAACTGGTAACACAAACACACACACCAACACTGAGTCAGCCAGTTAGGCAGCAAGCAGGCGAGAAGCATAGCCATAATGACGACGACGGCGGCGAAAAGTTGAGTGATGAGTTGTGTGGAAAACGGCCAGCAAAATTAAGGTAACACTCGGTGGCGACTGGCAGTGTGTGGTGAAAATCGGACGCGAGCGGCAGACAATGTCATGACAGGAAGAACGTCAGTCAGGCAGCTAGCAGTGAAAATGAAAATGCAAAATTCGCTGAAAGCAACAAAGTGACAAAAAAATAAATAAATAAATGAAAAATTTAACAAGCGTTGTGGCGAAGAAGAAGAAGCATCGTTGAAAAATAAGAAAATGTGTTGAATAATAGAAAAATATATATATTTGTGGAAAACAAAAGAAAATATGTTTTAATAATTGCAAGCGTGTGTGTGCCACATAAAAAAATATCACAAGCCTCGTTTCTGCATGAAACTGCGAGTAAAGTTGTGTATAAGTGTGTGTAAACGGCATATGCGCTTAACCTAGAAATCGCCAGCGTATTTAGTATAAAGCAAATATACATTATAATAAATTTTTAGCATACCAATTTATTTAAAAATCGTATATATATATATATATATATATATATATACAAATAAGTGTAATAAGTATATAAGTGTGTAGATAGTGCTGAAGAACACAGGAAAACCAGAAGCAATAGCCGTAAAGCATTCAAATAAATTAATCGATAACGCTATGTCAATGGAAAGCAATACCCCGGTGGATCCCAGAGTGCAGGCAAGTATCCGCACAGCACGCCAATCAACTAAAATTAATGCTTACGCACATAAAAATGTATTGTTAAGCATTACAATTTGTTGTATTCCCTTGAAATGCATTTGCGCGAGATTTTGATGGTCATAAACGGAAATTGTCTTATCTGACAATGACCCATGATGGAAAGGAAAATAAATAAAAAACGTACACACATGTACAAATGTGTGTATATGTGTACGTAGTAGTGAGTGAATGCTCTTAGCGGTATTTACGTGTACATACATACATACGAACATATGTTCTACAAGCAAAAATGTGCTTCACTAAGTCATAATGCCAGCATAGAAAGTGTTTGTTCACTTTTATTTGTTTGCTAGTTAGTACAGATGTGCTGAGTTTATTATATATGATATTTGTACTTATATACAAACATATATGCACATAGAGACATATGTTTAAGCATAAACATCAATGCATAGCACAGCTACCTTAGCTTTTTGCCACTTTTCAAGTGAACATTAACATAACTCTTTAAGTATAACGTCAAATAAAATGCAAAACAACGTATCTACAAACAAATCGAAATTGAGTTTTTATTGCCTACGATTCACCACAACATATTGCACAAATGTAGCATAAAATTTTTAGCTTCGACTGTCAGCTATATATCGAATAAATAACCAATATAACCAATAGATAACCAAAACTAAATTTTTTTCCAATATGAGTGGTTTCTATTATATCGTGTTTCTTCCGCCTGTAAACTTATGAAAAGTGATGTTACGTTATTTTGCATTTTAGGTAACGATAACTATATTTGTACAACCTCATCTACATATTTATACCATGTATTTACTATATGTAGGTGTTTACATATATTTGTCCTATTTTCGGCTCAGTTGATTTGCTTAAAGATGTCTTTTCGTGTTAATTCCGTTTTGCTTGTCCGCTGTTTATGATGTCATTTGTCTAAAATATTATAGAAACAAGTAAAAAACTGTTTGATAACAACTTTATATATGTATGTATATAGAATAACACATACGCATACATATAAAAAAATACTCACTGAGCAACCAGTTAGTTGTTTCCGAAACTTTTTCACACCTTAACCACCTTTATGTGTATGATTAAAGGATATGCGACGAGCCAACACCCACACAGGTTCCTAAGACGAGCTAACACATATAAAGAACTATCCATTAATACACATGCACAGTATATTTACTTACACATTTACACCTCACGGCCTCTCCTAACTCTTTTTAAATAAGTAATACTTTTGCAGATTGAACTGGAGAAACTGAACACAGCAACAGACAATATCAACAAATATGAAGTGGAACTCGATGTAAGTATTAATTTTGGTCTTACATAATCGTCGCGCATTAAAAAAATGCTAATAAGGCCGAAAATTGCAAACAAACATATTTGAATAATATTTATATGTACATAACTATATAAAGTTGCTTTAAAAATGCTTCATAAGGAACGGATGAAAGGAATTTTGGCAGCCATTTATAAATTCGACGCACGCACACAGATGTATTCACACACATATTGAAAAAGAAGAAATAATATATATTAGTTTACATGCTTTACCTTCTCCACCTGCTCTTTCCAACTGAGTAGAGGTCTTACTTTTCCTGTGCTTCCCCCGACTGGTACTGCATGGAATACTTTCACAACTGGTGTGTTTTCATCCATACGCATGACATGACCTAGCCAGCGTAGCCATTGTCTCTTAAGTCGGTGAACTGTGTGAATGTCATCGTATAATTTGTACAGCTCATCCTTCCATCGAATGCGATATTCGCCTTGGCCAATGCGCAAACGACTTTAATCTTCCGCAAAATTTCTCTCTCAAACATTCCTAAAGCGGACACATCAGATAATATCATTGTTGATGCCTCTGCACCATATAGCAGAACAGGAATAATAAGTGACTTATAGAGTTTGGTTTTTGTTCGTCGAGAGAGTACTTTACTTCTCAATTGTCTACTCAGTCTGAAGTAGCACAGTAGCACCTGATGGCAAGAGTTAACGGCGCGGTTGTGCCAGGGATATCAATATCATCGGCGTACCTCAGCAGCTGTACAATCTATTTAGTACTGCAGCTCGAATTATTTTCTCCAAGAGTAGATTGAAGAAGAGAGTCGCTTTGTCTGAACCCTCCATAATTTCAGTAAGCCTTGAGCATCACTCACTAGATTACCTCTGGGGGTTCAACAAGAGTATGCCCCGGCCTTGAAACATTCTGTTAGTCGACGCAGTTTTTCGTAGTATTTTCGAGCATTTCCCTCACCTCTGTCGGCCAGATTCTCTCTTTTTGTTTTGTTTGCGAATGGGTTTCGCTTCCCCTGCAACTCTGCGACACGGTACTCCTCATTGTACCAGCTGTACTTCTTTTTCATGAGGGGGTATTTTTTTACGTGATCGGTTTCCAACCCCACCGCACAATTCTCGGGAGGGGATGTTTCGATTTCTCACTTTATACTTGCCTTCAAAATAAAGTGTTTTTCTATTCAGAGGATATTTGGTCTAGAATCGGAAGTCGGGACCTACTTGAGCCATATGTAAACGATTTGTTTTTGGTCACTCCCAAGTGAATTGCGTTCAGAGAACTTTTCCCACTTGCATGATCTTCTACACGTGGCTCCATCTTCCTTCTAATGTTATCAATATTAAAAAACCCTCTTCTACGTTATACGAAGTCTTATATCCTACATATCTACATAAGTCTTAGTATATCCTAAGAAAAACTTATTCTTAACAAGTTTGTCATAAAATAGAAGTTTTTGTATCTCAGCGATGGTTGTCTGGCTACTTTATAAATCTGCCCAGAGTCTCTCCGCAACTTGTGAAAAACAGCAAACCGTTTTAAGTATTCCATATTGACTTTGTTACCGTTATTTTTCGTTGATTATCTAAACCAAACTGGTACTAAAATATTTGTTGAAAGGGTTTAATTGACTTTTCGGTTGATCATTGTCAGCCAGCTTAAAGTCTCTTTTGAAAAAATATGTCAAACTATCCTGTACTACATACTCTTCGAAAACAGTATGTTTAACATTAGCTATTCCTAATAATTTTAGTACAAAGTCATTGAAATTGTTCGAATATGGAGCCTCTTATCACACAAAGACCTAAAGTTTTTCCTCTATTGCCACAATTAATCTCAAAGTTCTCCTTCACAAATCAATAAACACTGTCAATTAGGCACACTATTTTGGTTTACTTAACGTGAAGTTTACATGTAAACATACCCAACACAAATACTCATATTTATATATACACCCGAATATATGTACATACATATTTACTTACTGTGAGTTCAAGTGCCTTTTCACTTCGCCGTTTATTGCTACTTTAAGCCAACTTAAGTAGTTAACCCTTAGCAGATAATTAAAATGGCTTAAGCGGGCTTCACATGACAGTAACATTGTCAATAATCATCACAACAACAATACTAGCAGTGAAGTTAATAAGTGTACGATCCATTTGTATTACATGTCGCCACATACGAGTTAATTAAATTTCGATTGTCATCGAAGATTTCATTTTGAACGTGAGTTACTCAAGTGGATGCCAAAACCTTTTCACCGATTTAGGAACTTATTGTTCAATTGTAAAAGAATGTTAGCGTGGATATAACTTTTATTGAAGACATTGAGATATTTTTGACTCTTTTGTAGTCCTTAGAGTTTTCGAATGTTTGACATATTGAAATATTCATATTATATTGTAATGATCTTCTGGTACAAAAAGGCTTTTCACAAAGTTTATGTATATAAATGCCTCATAGAAGAAGTGATGGAATTTGATATTTTGAGCTACTGGAAGAGCCGATGATAAGGTTAGGTGCACAGTGTTATATATTCAGTTCACTATAAAATATGTTCAAAACCTTTGCAAAGGCATGCCAGGCAAGAAAAAAAAAATGTACGTATTCAAAACATGTTTGAACGATTTTCATTCAAATCTATACAAACTTTAAATGATACAAAAACTATAACTAATACTCCAATACGTCATGCTACTAACTCAATGCAGCTTGGTAACATTATTTCTCAAGCAAGGTAAACTACTTTCTAAATGGCCATAATTATTGTCTTCGAATTTCACTCAAATTGTAATTTTTCAAGAATAGCAATTATCGAACCAAAATTTTGGTAGATATCAGGCTACACTGAAATCCGATATTAGAATTGCTGAATATGGAATTAATATTGGTATTAACAAGGAACCACACTAAAAACAGCTTAGAAGTAAAATGTTCCATACTAACCCAGTCGCTCCTATCAATCCATGATTGAACCAAAGCACGAATGACGGGATTTAGAAAAGCATGAAGGTATTCATATGTACTACTGTAATCAAATTGAAAGGTGAATTTTTAGTTTATACTTTTCCGTAAATTTTTCTGTAAATTTCCCGTCAAAGTGTTCGTTAGTATTTGAGATACGCGTCGTTGTGTGATGCTCTAAAAGTGAATTCTTCGATTCGGAATTTATTGAACAACGAAGGGCGATAATACACCATATCATACTGCACTGGTTTTTCGTGATAATTTCACCACATTCCCAACTAATACCGTGCCGAAACCACGGCACTCCCCTGATATACCAGCAAATTCACATGACCACTCCGAGGACACCGTTTTGACTCAATTGAGGATATAAAAGCTGAATCGGAGAAGGCTCTGATGGCCATCAAGTGGGAGGATTTTTCCAACTGCTATGATGACTGGAAATTCGTTGGCATAAGTGTATTGCAGCGGGAGGGGATTGCTTTGAAACAGATTAAATTGACAAAATTCACCTTTCAATTTGATCACAGTAGTATGTATGTTCTTCCATATTAAAGTATTATATAATAAAGTTGATCACAGTTAACAGGTCTCATGTTTTTTTAATATTTGGTTTGATAAAGTGCTTAGAACTGTCACATTTTACATGCTTGAGAAACTTTTTATATCCTAAACGGTTTGCCAATAAGTTTACAATGCCCAGAATGAAAGGTTGGTGACTCTATAAAATACAAACAAATTTGCTCAAAATGGGTTCAGTTATGCAGATAATCAGTTTTTCCTGAACACACGAGGACTGGACTTCTCCAATTTTGTTTGTTAACGAAGTCATAAAACCAGAAATGGGTTTCATCTGAGAAGATGATTTTTCGATGAACTTGTGGAGCATATGAACTTGCGAAATAAGCTTAGACAATTTTCAAGCGTTATACCAAAGTGCAATGATGAAGTGACAAACCTTATTGAATACATTGACAAAGTTTTACACAAATCGGTAAACAAACAACATAGACTGTCAAAATCACGTTGTTATTGTTGTTGTAGCGGCAGAGTTCTGATAGCCCTTAAAAGGATAAAAATCCAGGTCCGTTTCGGTTTCAAAGGCCTAACTGTTGTCGGAATGTCAACATCGCGTCATCTCTTTTGGTGTGGTCATTGTAACGAACTGAGTCAATTTATCATACTGTCTGTATGTATATAGGCTAACTAGTTTCCGAACAAAATGTTGAAATCGGACCATATATAGGTTAGGTTAAGTGAATCTGGTAGGCCAGTGAGCTGCTCATATACCAGTTTTGGTCCTTTGCAATACAATACAAGATAAGTTCAGTTACTAGGTCCATGAAGAGTAGACATCCTTTAGGATGCCTGCACTTGACGCGAATTTTAAGAGACTTTGTGGCCTTGCTATCGATATCTCCTTCAGTAACATTATACATATATCTAGTTATACAAAATGACAGATCAAAATGAAGTACTCGATTCGAAACATCAATTTTGTTTGTGAAGAGTTTCATAGCTTCGATGCAATCGAAGTTAACGTTTTCTTGTTTAATAACTGTTTCCTATTTGTAGAACCTTGTGTTCTTATATTTAAGAATTATGTACATAAGAATAGGAATAATATTGTATATTCTGTAGTAAAGGATGAGGAAAGATAATTGGAATATTTATGCTCCACGTGTTGTATTAAAGAACTAATTTTCTTTAGATTAAAATTTAGTAATTCTATTGGTGCAAAATTAAGGGGAAATATTCAAATATTTGAAACAGTTGCAATAAAGCATTGCCAGATGCCCGAAATATGCCATAGCGAAGATAAATATATATAGTACTTATGTGTGTTAATAAAGCGGCGCCCTAATTGTCTTCATTTAATTCAGTTATAAAAGCATTTTGTGATAAATGTAACCACATGCAATAAAAAGCATTTTGCAGCAATTAATATACATACACATGCAAACACAAACACATACAAAAATATTATACACAACCATTTATTTTGCGATATTGCACCGTTAGGAGGCGAAATGTGATTTCAAGCGTATCTTGGCGGAGAGCGAGGTGCGCATCAAGCAGGCCGCACACAAATTGGGCAACTCCATCGAGGCGGCGAAACCCTACTACGAGTCGCGCATCTATGCAGCGCAAGTGAGTACCGTTAAATGCAATCAAATGCTATGTAATCGATAAATATATCTACTATAATATTTCCTTTTACATTTTTTCGCTACGCGTGGATCTTACTATGCGGCTGTGTGTGTGTGTGTGCTTGTGCCTTGTAGTTGGCAAAGGAGACACAACAAGCGGCAGTCAATTACGAGAAGGCCAAATCGATACATTCCGCTGCCAAGGAGATGGTCTATTTGGCCGAGCAGGGACTGGGGGAGAAAGCGACGTTGGACACCGCCTGCCAAGAAATGCTCAGTCATGCTACCAGTAAGACAAACAACAGCAACAACAATAAAAACACATTATAGCTGTTGCTTTGGAAAAAAGTTTTAATTTGCATTTCCTTCTCCATTTCGTTTCGTTTTTCATTGTGTTTTTTTTTTTTTTTTTGCGCCACAGCCAAAGTGAATCAGTCACAGGTGGAGGTGACGGATGCTAGGAATACGCTGAAAATGTGTCAGCTCAAGTTGGAAGTTGCCAATAATCGTGTGGGCAAATTGCAGGGTCAACTGAAGCAGGCCATCCGCGCGTCGAGGTGAGTCCATGTGCCTCTGCTCGTTTTATTGCACTGTAAATCATTACGCAAACAAATGCTCGCACGCACTTATCTGCACACACTCGTAAATTGTGGCACATTAGCGCACATTACACTAACACATACATGTCATTTAAGTTTGGTTGCATTTTTTTTAGTTCGAACGAGATATCTTCGAGTAGGCGAGATTACAATTGCGCAATCATCATTATATTTTTGTTTTTGTAAAATGTTAATCAGCGCTATCGTATGTTGGTGAGAAATATTATTTGATTACACAGACCTTCATTGAAAGTTTTTATTGTTCTTTATATTTTTTGGTTTTTTGTTTTGTGTTTGTGGTTATTTTGAACCAGTTTTAGAATTTCAGTTACACCCCTTCGCATCTAAAATATAGAATATCAGAATTTAGCCTAATTTTTCAAGTTCAAGTCCCGTAAAATGGAAAGATTTGAAAAGAAAATTTGAAGACTGTGGCGCCATGATGTGAGTAGCACGCTATGCTAATTTTGTACTAGGGTTGCTGAAGATATTTCTAGTTTGGCAATGGAAAAATGTTTACTGGTTTTGGGAAAAGGATTCATTATTTATTAAAATATTCGTTATAATGATAAATACATTGTGACTAAAAAGCACCCGGAAATTTTAAATGATTTTTCACCGGTCGGTACACCTCGGTAGGCCAATACGATTTTTAAAATGGATAAAAATATCGAACAAACAATTTGTTTCAAAAACTAAAAAAAATGTACCGTAAACAGGTCTCTTTGGACAATTCCGATCGCACATTCATATGCCATGATCACAAGAAACGAGTCGAGCGGCGAGACAGTCACACGGCCGAGTGCTCGTTTCGTTTAAACAGTAAGGCGCGTAATGAACCGAGTCAGTGGGCGAGTATAGTGGCGAGAGAGTCACTAGAATCACATTTTGTTTACTAGGCCGAGTGCTTCTTTTTTCTTCACTCTTTTGCCCCTTCTGAGCTAATCACTGACTAGCTCGTTGCATGTGAACACGCGTTCGGTCTTCACTCGCCACTCGGTCGATTTTTATGTTGTTTATTTAGTTTCAATTGCATTTTGCATTGTGAAAGAATTGAAATGGCAAATACTTTTTTATGAGATGCGGTAGAACTTTATTAAAAACTCTTTTAAAATGTCTTTTTCTACCAAACATTGTAAATAAAACTTTGAAAAACTTCACTGTCTAACTAGATGAACAAAATACGTGTAAACCTCTACTCGCCAACGCAACTCTCTCGACCGAGTATCATACTCGGCCAGAATACTGTCTCGCCACTGTACTCGTTACGTGTAACAAGGCCAATAAGGAATATTATATGTAACTGTCGATGAGACACGGGTTTATGAGTTTGACATGCATACAAGTCAACAATCCAATCAGAATGGAGAGGAAAAAACGGGGCGAGAAGAAAAGCACGTGAAAGACGCTCAAAAATCTAGGTGATGCTCATTGTTTTTTCGATATTCGGGGTTTGTGCATCATGAATTTGTTCTGATGCGACAGACGGTCAATGAGGAGTACAATTTGGACGTACTAAGGCATTGGCGTGAGAATATCCGCCGATATGGCCAGAATCGTGGAAGAACAATTCATGAATTTTACGTGTGCATAAAGCACTATCGCATTGAGCCACGATTGTGACCGAATTTAAAGCCAAAAACGGAATTAATACCAACGATCAACCACCGAATTTTGATATTTGACCAAATTTTGCTACGTATGATTTTTTCTTGTTCCCCAAACTGAAATTGTCGCTCCGTGGAATTCGTTTTCAGTCAATCGAAGAGATATTTTCTGCACTTTATGTTCACATCCATGCAGAAAGCTTTGAAACAAGCTTTTCGCCATTTTTCCGGCTTCCGGGTTCGAGTAGCTGAGATCTGAGAGAAAGCATTCTTAGAGACAAAGGAATTATTTTATGTAATCCATAAATTTATGGTAAACCAAACTAGCAACAAAGTTTGCATCAAGCTATGCGTCTGAAACGGCCGGAAATATGGATGGACAACTTTTGGTTCCTTCTTCACTGCAGTGCATAATGCTATACTGTATTGGTTCTTTGCGACTTTTTTTTGCCAAAAACTCGAAACATATCGTTCCGCAACGACCGTATACGCCTGGTGTGGCTCTGTGCGATTTTTTGCTATTCAACCAACTCAAAAGGCCAATGCTGGCATGACGTTTCTACACACTTGAGAAGAAAAAAAAAACGAATAGAATAAGATCTTGAAGGCTATACTGTTTCGAGGACTGGAAAATGTTTGCAATAAATTTGAGGCTCTAATAATAAGCAACTGGCAAAAACTGAAACGGTCGATTGCCGAAAAAGAACATGTTGTAATCACTTGGTGACAGGTCCGGACTTAAAGGTGGATGCATAGGAACCCCCGAAACTTCTGACGATTTGTGGTGTACTGATGGAATACAATTGCTCTTCTTTTGACCAAAGCTGTGCACTACTCGGCTATTTCTTCTTTCAGATGGTTTAATGATTGATGTCCAAATTAAGAGTTGGTGCTTAGGGGTTAGATCATGGGTGATAATTTCCTCAAAATCCCACCAAATATATTGTTAAACATTTCTGACCGGCAATACTGGCTCGGCCACCGACAGTTTTCGCTTGAAGCTATCTTCTTCATCAACACAATCATTTACAACAGAAATAGAGCGATTTTGTTGAGATTCCGCAGCGATTCTCAGCTGGAAATATGATTTATGAGTTTGAGTGAGTACCGTTTATGTACCCAGCCATTTAAAACCATTTAACAAACGGGTTTTGGTGCAATGTTTAGAACCTTGGCAATCGATACAGCCTTTTGTGATGGTTGGGCAGTACTACGAGGTGTGTTCGAAAAGTATCGCGAATTTTGTGTTTTTTTCAAAAATTACTTATTTATTCATGGATATCTATTTTGTCCTCTTCAAAGTATTCCCCATGAGATATTATACACTTGTGTCAACGGTTTTTCCAATCTTCGAAGCACTTCAAAAAATCATTTTTGTTTTATCTTCTTCAGCTCCTCCTTCGATGCCGTCTTTATCTCGTCAAGAGAAGCGTAACGTCGTCCTTTCATGGGCCTCTTCAGTTTAGGGAACAAGAAAAAGGGGGCCAGATCTGGGGAATACGGTGGCTGCGGCATCATTAGTGTGTTGTTTTTGGCCAAAAAGTCGCGCACAAGCAACGATGTGTGAGCAGGAGCGTTATCGTGGTGCAAAAACCATTCTTTGCCACATCTTCTCGGCCTTCTGAAAACATTTTGTCTCACCGATAAACGTTGCTTCAGTCCAAGGTGGCTTCTCCGTATGCCACAGTCAACATTTGGAATGCATCCGCGCACTTAATTTCGTTTTTCACACAACATTTGATACAGGTTCTTTGATACATTTTTTTGCTGTTCACAATTAAATGAACATTAAAATGGCCGAGCTTGTCGGCATAAGTGAGAGACATGAGTACCAACATAACGCCACAAAAAATTCGAAATTCGAATATACGTAACCCGCGAAAATTCGAAATTCGCGATAATTTTTGAACACACCTCGTATTTACCATATCTTTTCGATATTTTCGATTGGTTTTTCAGATATATTTTGATCTGTCGATTCTGTAAAATATGGTGTATTTTCTCATTGCTGGTGTTTATTTTGCACGCGTGTCCAAACAATACATAGTCAAGCAAACACAAAACTTTCTGAGAAGTGTTTTTAGTATTTTTTTTTTTCTTTTTCTAACGTCTTAGAGCGTAAACTCGTCGAACTTATACAGCACGATATACATATTACTGAAGAAGTTTATAGAAAATTAAAAAAACAAATTACTGGACCTTATATAGGACGAGACTAGTTTTATTCATGAGGTAGGAGATCAGTTTGATAATATTTCTATATAATCTATAATCTCAAAGTAATCCCTGGATCAAGTTAATATATCTGACTCGTGTGATGAGTTGGGGCTTTCAGTAGCCAAATTTTTAAATATCCTATTAACTTCTTTATATTTTCGTACTTTATCATTATGTCATTATGCTAGTCACCATCTTTCTCACGCTTGGTTCTCTACTTAATTTTTATGTATAATTTATTTTCAGTATTTTAATTCTTAACTTTTAGTTTAAGCCTTAGACGAGACTTACTTGAAATGAACGCTTTGGTTTATCAGCAACGTTGCAATTGTTTGTAAGTATTATCAACACACTGACTGCACGCTTAAGAAAGACTGTCACACTCCAAATTTAAGACACTGTGCATTTTTGGTTTCCTTGGACACTTGTAGATTAGATTCAAACTCTTTCAGTTTGCGCAATATTTGCCAATCTTCTAATGTGTCTTTGCATGCCGCTCCACAGGCCCTTCTACGAGGCGCGCGCCAACTATAACGGACTGCTGAAAGCGCAAAAGCAAAAAATCAATGAACTAGAAAGCCGAGTGACCGAGGCGAAAATGACTTACAACGAGGCGTTGAAGAACCTCGAACAGATCTCTGAAGATATACACCGCCAGCGGCAGGTGCAACGTGACCTGCTCAATGACACACTCTTGCCACAGCTGTGCGCCGCGACAACGACGCAAAGCTATCAACACTTTCCGCGGGAAGAGTTGGACGCAGCCGAGGAGTATCTGCAATTGCCCGCGAAGCTCAGCACACAGTCCAGTCCAGTGCATCAGCGGCGCTACGACGAGCATGAATGTCCACACTTGCTGCAAGACTTTCCAACGCTCAATCTGAGGGAGGTAAGCGCCGTCATGTCCCTAACTCTATTATTTATATTGTATGTCTGTTTACTATTTCTTTTGCGCCGACGCAGAAACTCTCCACAAGCGGCGGCATGCACAAGTCGGCCAGCACTAGCGCTACCGGCGACAGCCTCTTCGGCCACACACCACTGCACGGACCCTACGAAGTGAAGTCGAGCGGTAACAGCAGCAGCGGCGGTGGCGGCACAGGCAGCGGCAGCGCGCACGACGCCAGCTCGAGCACTGGCGCCGATGCCGACGACAATGACGATATCGAACAATGGACTGAAATACGACTGTCACACTCGGAGAGCACAAGTTCCAGTTACTCCAACCAATCGCTGCTGCACGATCAACCAGGCGGCGGCGGCGCTGAGGATGCGCAATCGCATCACTCATCATCGTCCTCCTCGGACGAGCCGAAACGCAAAGTCACCTGCACGACGATCTTTCATGAGGATCAGCTGAACAAAAAGCAAAGCCTAAGCCAATGGCTGTCGCGTTCGAACAGCTTGAAGATGTCCGGCCGACGTCAGAGCCTCGATTTGCTGATCGATGCGGGCGATAAGGTGAAGGATGTGTTTAGTTTCGGTTTCCAAAAGGTGGGGAAATCGCTGGAGCGACGCAACAGCGAGTCGGAGATGAATGCCGAGAATGCGGACGGCAATGCGAGCGGAGCGGCGGCTGCGGGCGCGGCGAGCGGCGGCAAAACCTCATCGGCCGGCGATTTCTTCCTCTTCTCCAGGTCAGTAGGCGGTGGTGCTGCTGCCAGCAACAGCGCCACCAGTAGAGCTTTGCTTAAAAAGTCTGGACTGCTGAGCACACTGCAAAATCGCTTCACCAAATTGATTTAATTCGCGTAAAGCATTTTTCGTTGGCCAAAAAAAAAAAAAAAAGAAATTAAGCGCATACATACATACATACGCAGTAGTTTCTAATGATTCGCATTTATGGAATTTTTTGAAATCTTTGCGGTCAGCTTGAAGCATTTATCTACCAAATCGTTTACGCATGCATGCATAACGGCATACGTTCGCTTATATTCACATACATATGTACATACATGCAGACGAGTATAGCGGTGACTTACCGCAAGCATTTAGTTGAATTCTGCGCACTGCTTGTATTTTTTTAAGCAAAATTTGAAACTGAAATATCAAAAATTGATAAGAATTTATGAAAAAAAAAAAACAAAACGTTTGCAACTTGAGAAGTTGTTAGCAAATTTGAAAGCAATGTCGGACAATATTGATTTGCAAAACTGCATAATGTTGAAAATGCACATAACAGTAGCAAAATAGAAAATTGTTAAAAATTGCATGTTGAATTTAAAGGAAATTGTTACTTGTTCCAGTTGTTTGCTATTCAAATTTGTAGACAACTACATAATTATATAATTACATGCATATGCATTGGTTACTGATCAGCCAAATATACATACATATATTAATCGCACAATGTTATCATATACACATACCTATAGAGTTACATAATGCATTGCATATTTTTTACAAATCAATAATATGTAGTTGGAATGCACAAAAATAAGCAAATTACCAAATTATTATATGAAATTTATATATAACTAGCTACATACATATATACTAATACTAGTATATACATACATATACAAACTGAATTAATCTTTAAATGCAATTATAGCGCAGTACAAATTTTTTTATGTGTACTGTTTTATATGTATGTGTGTAACTGTAAACAACAAATGAAAAATTACATTTCAGATCGTCAGAGCCGAAAGAGCTGCTCTCCGACGAGCAGGTCGAGAATTTATTGTTGAATCCCAGCCTGGATGAGAATGGTATGATAATTGTTGAGCAACTTAAATCGCCGTTACAACAGCCAAATACCTATGGCATGGCTGCCACGCCGACCACTACAACAACCACAACCACTTTGCTCTTCTAAGCGTTAATTAGCGTTAAAGCATAATGTTTAAAAATAAAATTAAAAAATAGCAGCAACTTTCGTCTTAGAATTCATACAAATAGTTTAAGCAACCAAATTGGTCATATGAGGACATGGGAAAACATATCATTTATGGGATTTCGTCGCTTGAAAATTATGCGGCGTTTATGCAAACTATGCTAATATAGTGTAGTGCTAATAATAGTGCGGCGGGTTTAGCAAATTAACTTGAATTCTTTGAGTTCAAATTATAATTATTGCATTTATAGTACAATATTACTATGTAATTACCAAATTGTGGTCATTAAGTATTTCTTTAAAATATTTAATTAATTTTTTAAACAAATTAATATAATTTTTGAAGTATTGCGCGAAGTGTTAAATGCATTTTCAGTTAAATATTAAAATAATTTGCATTAAAACGCTTGAACTGAACTTAAAATTTAATTATTGAGATCAAAAAATTCACATACATAATATACTATATAATGTCTAATAATTGGCATGACAAGTAAAGAAACTCGGCTGCAAGAACTAAAAAAAACTTTTTAATTTTACAAATTGACAAAATAAAATGCCAATTGATGACATTTTATTAACTAAAGTACTATGCGTGAACGCATATTTATGCTGGAACCACAGTTTAAGCGTCACTAAGCATAAGCACTGTAAGTTTGTGCGTACATCATAAATGCTAAAGCTATTTTTATGCGTACAAAAATGTATTAAAATATAAATAATACCTTAATTACTACAATAAGTGAGCTACAATGCAAACTAATTGACTAACTAGACATTATTTACTTATAATATGTACTTTTCAATTGCGTGTTCGATGCATGTGGTTGTTTTACTAGTCATTTATAAATTATATACACAAGCGTTGAGGCAGAAAAACTCTGTCAGCGTTATTTATAAAAATAAAATAAAAACAGAATTTAATTAAAAAAATATTTAGCAGTGAATATTTAAGCAAAATATATAATTACGCATACATACATATGTATACATTTTTAAATTTTAAAACAAACAAAGGAAATCGTTTACAAACAATAAATACAGTTTACATATATGTACTATATAAGTATATGTCCTACTGATGTAACTGTTGAACTATGTATGTAGTGTAATGCCTCAAAATAATAAATATTACATCAAATTGTGACTTTATGATATTAAATTACATATGACATAGATTTATAACATTTAAATGTACTAAAGCATAAAAAATGCATAAACTAGGAGTTTGTTAGCGGAATAAGCTTTGAATTCGTAAATCTAAATACAGAGTAGCAGTGGAAATATACAAAAAAAAAAAAAATAAATAAATTATATATATATATACGTAAATACTTACACAAAAAAGTATAAATTTGTTTTTAATCAGCAATGCAAATAATGAAAACGGCAATAATTATTTTTATTATACACATTTAAGTCAAAAATCCCAACCCTTTGTACATTTTATAAATTTTTTAATACTTTATTTTCACATTTAAGTTATAAATCCCAATTTCTTGCACATTTCATAAATTTTTAATACTTTTTTCACGTTTATTAAAGTGTATTTCATTATTGTCACTTTTTCTCTTAACTCTTACTAATTTCTTACAAACATCATTTTTTCAACTTTCAACTGCCTTTTACAATACATATTTAAGTCCAAAATCGAGACTGCCGCAACGGAGTACTACTACTTTACAAAAATTTATTGTTTTTTCTAACTTTTCCACTTAACCTGTTTTAATTGCTCATTTTTTCACTTTTCGCATGCCACATTTATATTCCACCAAAATTTTCAGCATTTGCCCATTCCGCTTCAGCAGCGCATTTGTTTCATCTTGTTTCTTATTACTTTCTTCCATAATATTGCATACACGATTCAGCAGATTTGTCGTTTGTTTTAGCATATCTTTGGTTTCCTTGACGTCATCCTTTAATTGCTCCACAGCGTTGACTATACGATTTGAAAATTTAAAGGATTTCACTATTGGTGTCACTCTGGCGCGTTTGTCTTTACTTGTGTCGTATTCCGCTGTTGCGTCGTTTACACTCTCCGCATTGTCAAGGTAATCGTCTCCTACGACATCATCAATGTCGAAAGGAAAATGTTCGCTAACATTATTGCTATCGTCATCTGCATTTAGTAGTTTAATAATATCATCGGTGTTGTCATCGGTATCATCAATTTCCTCAAAGACGTCATTCACATGCACATCATTTTGCTTATGCTGATCTTCTGTTGTTGTGGTAGATGTTTTGTCCGTAGTAGGAAAATCTTCAACTATATACTCTTCGTAGGCGTTTTCGTATGAAGCAGGTATTTTGATATTTTCTGAAACATCGGGCTGTTTGAATCATATAAGTATGATATTAGACGCATGTAAGTCAGTAATCTATGCATTTATTACTAACCTCGTTGTTTTTCTCTTTGGCAGGCGCCTTTCGAAAGTGTTTTCTTTTCCTCCCACGCGGCATAGTATATTGTCGCAAATCAACGTGCTGAAATTAATTCAAAATGCTATCATTAGCATAAAGAATGGGTTTGTTGTTATTTTAAACCTTTTGCCACTCTTCTTTAGGCAATTTAACGCCATCTGGTATATTATTCAACTCGTCTGCTATATTTTGCCAGAGACGCTGCCTCAGTGGTTCGTCATCTTCCGCGGTGTTGATAAATAAGAGCCTTTGTTTACCAACAAGTTCGTGCAGGAGCGTCAACTGACGATCTTTGGGATCCAAGTACTGCTTAGCGGTTTTTGGTTTAATAAATTGAATAGCATGTATCATATGAACTTACAGTGGCTGTCTCGTCGTAAGTAGTATCACTAGACATATCATCCTCTGTTACATTTATAATGAAATAGTCATCATCCGCGACTGTTATACAATAATAAAATGATATCACTTTACTAAATTCAAATATCTTTTATTTTACCATCTTTTATAATGCGCTCAATCTCTTCCTCGTAATATTTACCCGCATTCAAACGCCAAGAATTGTAGCTCTATTGTAACAAACTTCGCATTATTTAAATTAATTGTAAAAAAAAGTAATGTGGATGTTAATTTACCCGCTTCCAACCTTCAACGTCTTTCTCGGCACCTTGCATTTCATTGAGTTTTTGTGTTATAACCTGCCATATTCTTTGCCGAATACTCAAGTTTCTGCGTGTTAAACCTACCTTGTTGACTTCAATTAGCTTCAAGAGCACAGCCAGTTGGTCTTTGGTGCGAATCTATAGAGAAAAAATTAAGATTTGATCGATTTAGATGTCTAACATATAGCAAAGATCCGATTTATATTCGGAAGTTGGCGGTTTAACGTCTAAAAAAAGTGTCATTTAAATAAAGGTGGATTGCTTTCCGTGCGGCATTAAAGGAAATGCTCTGTACACTGGAAGTGTTTTTGAAGTTAGACGAAACCAGAAACTTTTTTACTTACCGCCATTTTACTTCGAAGGAAGGGCGTTTAAACCACTAGTAATTAAATAATTATTTTTATTTCTTTAAATAGATATTTCTTTTGTTACAAAGAATAATTTTAATAATTTTGTACGACCAATGTGCACAGGTGATTAACTTTTTTACGCACATCGGCGACACGGCCTACACAGGGTTGCTTTATGTGAATAGTACGAAAATATCTTCTTAATTATTATTAATTATTAAATTAATAATTAATTATTATCTTAACAATGCAATCATGCAGTTATTTATGCTTCTAGCATATTATTTATAACAATTATCTTATATGTAATGGTCGTTTCCTGTTTTTAAATATATCCCTAAAAAAAATTATGTGCTCATGATTTTTGTTTATAGGTGCCATTGTGAACTTTCTGGTGGCATAGAAGCAGCATTCGTTTCTTATCAAATAACAGTACAACAATTCTATAAATTTTTAAAGCTTTAATATTTTATTTTCAATATCTAAACAAATAAACATGTCACCTGCTTTTGACGACGCTTTAATTACCAAACACACTATACATCCTGGTAGAGAATACGTACCACTCAAACCGGGCACACGAGTCAAATTTCACTTTCAAACTAAAAGAGTTGACGATGGCTACACACTGGACGACAGCCGGAAAATGGGCCAACCAATGGAATTGGTGCTCGGTAAGAAGTTTAAATTGGAGGTTTGGGAAGTTATAGTACAAAAGATGGCACTCAACGAAGTTGCCAAATTTACAGTGCACAAAACGGTGAGTAGTGCACTACCTACACTTAACTTGGCTCTTACTAATAACATCATATATAGTTGGTCACCCAATATCCTTTCGTATCGAAAGTATTACGAGACGTGTCTAAGAAGGTAGAACAGCGCCGACACTGTTGCGCTATGACCCTACAAAATGAAGGTATTGGCTATAAGGATCTCGATGAGTTGATCTCCAAACCAAGTGATTTGGAATTCATCATCGAGTTATTTTCTATCGAGCAGCCGAAAAATTATGAAAAAGACCTTTGGCAAATGAACGACGAAGAAAAGATGAACGCACAGGAGGCATTGCGTGAAAAGGGCAATAATTTTTACAAAGAAAGAAATTATAAAGAAGCAGAGGAGTGTTACCGCAAAGCCGTCGGTATGATTGAACAGCTTATGACAAAGTGCGTAAACTTATTACAATTTATGTACATACATATATGTATATTTTGTGTGTTCTTTAAAAAAATTTTTTTTTTTATTGCAGAGAGAAACCTCACGATGTAGAGTGGTTGGCTTTAGCCGCTATCAAAGTGCCATTGCTATTGAATTATGCGCAATGTCGTCTATTAGATCGCGATTACTATGCGGTTATAGAGCATTGTACTGAGGTTTTGGATTTAGATAAAGACAATGTCAAAGCTCTGTTTCGCCGAGCTAAAGCACATGCTGGTGCGTGGAATCCAACAGAGGCACGTAGTGATTTCCTCAAAGCAGCCGAACTAGATACATCATTGACAGCTGTTGTGAATAAAGAACTACAAGCAATCGATGCAGAGCAACGTAAACGTGATGCTGAGGATAAATTGCGCCTACAAAAACTTTTTTAATTTGTACAAGTAGGTGAATATTTTTTGTGTAATACCTGAGTGTCCACGTTGTTTACTGCTTTGGAAGTGTTGCTTTATTTGACAGCTCTGAACAGTAAATGGAATATTAACAATGGTACTAATGTCTCTAAATGCACTAAGCTAGTCGCACAAAATGCTGTTGATGTTTTACATGTGAAATGAATGTAGAATAGTTTTAGATAGTAGTAATTGTTATTTTATTTCAAATAGTAATTGAAACATACACGAGTATTATGTGTATTCATTTAATAATGTAATTAGTACTTATATCAACTAACTGAGGAACTATATATAAAAAAATAAATGTATGTAATTATTTTATTTTTCTATCCTCTTATTTATTAATAATAAACAGTAAACCTTGAAGATTAGTATTTTTAAATTACTGTCTTACAACAATTAGAAATTACAAGATTTATCTTGTATTTATATTTACATCACATAGGTCTTAAACATAACAAAAACTTAATTCAAATTACACATTCGACCCTAATCAAAAATAGATCGTGGGATTAAAGTCTTATAACAACAATGATAACGATTTTACACCTGAGAAAAGAAAATATTGCTTTTCCAGATTAGATCGCTTTGTCAGAATAGCGTTAACGTTTATGTGAAAGAACAATTAGCGACTAGCATTCACTCAAACGCACTACATACGCGTCAGTCGCCCACTACCTCCGCCAGGTGCACCTTCCGCTTCACCACGCTGCTTACCATCATCTGTGCGCCAAATGAAAGGCTCCAAACGGTCTTCAACATCGAGAAAATTATTTATAGCTTCCAAATTGGCAATATTGTCATGTAGCAAGGAGTTACACCGACTCAGTTGTTGTGATATAGTACGCACTTTGGAGAATTGCTCGGCATAAGCGGCATACGTTTTCTGCATGTCCACAAACGAAGCAAATAATGTTGTTATGGAATTGCTAACAACTTTTGTACGTTCAACAAGATGATTTTGTTCTTGAGTTACTTGAGTGGCGCAAAGATTTAAATGTGTTTGCATGCGACTGCAAATATTCACCAAATGTTGCGCATTCAAGCGCTCTAACACTTCCTGATCTCGTGTGAAGGCTGCTGTTGTTATAGAATCACGTAGTACAGGCAGGAATTGTGGAATGTTACGCAAACGCGTCAAATCTGCATCCGTATCGTAGTCTGCGTCACGCGCGCCCGGTTTAACAATCACTATTGTACCAGAAGTAGATTGCGGACGCTTTGGTATAGCACCTGTGCCGAAAGATTTTCGTATACCTGCACTACGATTTATATTGTTCGCTTGTTGGTGACGACTATGTGGTTTGTTACGAATTTTCGGTGAGTCACCTATAGGACGATCTGTATAAGAAACGTAAGGCAAGTCAGAGCATACACTCAACGGTGGCGAAGGTGGTCGACTAAGCTCTACAGAGGTAGTGGGAGATGCAGTTGCTGTTACTGTCTCAACGATATGTTTACTGCCACGATTGGAACCAGCGCTGCTTGTGCTTTGTCGACCACTACGTCGTTTTGTACTCCCAGTGGGTGTGGCACTATGTGATTGCCTTGTATTGCCAAGTGTGATTTTTAAATCACTCTCAAATATTTCTCGTCCATCTGCCTCCGCTCGTTGCTGGGAATGCTCAGCTCCCATGTTACTATATGTTCGTGTAGTTATAAGCTTTATGACGCTTCGTCAAAGAACTTTGTTCTATTGATTTTTCGGTTTACGATAGGTGCAAACTAAATCTTACTTTGAACTTATAACGTGCTCTTGCTATACATATGTTTAACCAATTTGACACAAAATTATAATTATTTATATTTTTTACTGACACAAAATGTTTATTTGTTTAAGTATTTTAATTCGAATAAAATTCGCTTTCAAAACAACAATCAGCAAAACAACAACCAATACGAACAATTGTATTTGTTGTTTTTACGTGTCAGCTGCTTGTTAAGGGGAGGTTCAGAGTACTGCTTGCAATTGTAATTATAAATTCATTTCAACTATATTTTCTGAGCGTAAATAAAATATGTTGAAAAGGGTTGAATTAATAGCGTTTAATAAAAATGTGTTAAAGGTTTCCTCAGGCTTTATTGAAGTATTTTATATTTGCATATATATGTATAAACAGTGCAACAGTTTTTGTTTGTCTATTACTATTGTGAATGTGCCCGAAATCAGCTGAGTTTGGGTTTAGATAATGCTATTTCCGGCATTATTTCAATTTTAAAGGATGAAGTTTAAAAGCGTTAAAGTTTTTATATGGTAAAATAATAATAACACAATCTGTGTACATAACTATATGTTTTGTAAAGCTTGCTGATAGTTTTATTTTAGGTGAAGTCTCCAAATAAAGCTAATTTGATGGTTGAACTGGGAGAAACACAACAAAACAACTATACTTAAATCTGTGTAGTAATATAAAAGTATTATTAAAAGTATAGGTAGCTAGTTCATTTATACATTTTAATAGATTTCTTATTTAAATTTACATTCAGTAACATACGCAATGTTAATTATACATCTTTTAAAGAATAATAATTTATAAAAGCAAGTTTGAGAATAAAGCGATTGTGATGAGATGTTTAAGCTAACATTTACCGATTAATAAAAAATATGCAAGTCAATGTGTCAATTCGGTTGTAAATTTTATATTGAGTTCATTTAATATAATATACATGTTTATGGTGCTCATAAAGCGATAAAGTTAAGAGTGCAGTGCAAACTTTTCATTGTAATATTGCTCAAATTTCAGTAAATATTCTTTAATAAAGTTTTCAGAAAAACAAATATTATATAATTAAGTAATGGCGATTACTTAAAAGATGGACTCTTATTTATATAAGTATACATGCACATATATCTAAATTTTTATTAATCCAAACCAGTATACGCTTTTATTTTATTTATAGTTGGCTTATATTGAGTTTAAATTTTTGTTCCCTTTTTAGTGGTAGAAATTCTTACATTATACCAAGAAGAAAAAGATGCAACCAGAAGAAGCCAAATAATCGAATATGCAAAGTGACTTGCGGTCTTTAAACTCCTCGCTATGGACAGGTTTAATGCAAATATTTACATTATCAATATGGCTTTTTCAGATGAAGTTCATATAAACAGTATTTAAAATGCATATTCATCCTTGCACATATGTATATAAATATTATATATGTGTATGTGTTTATATGCAGGCTTTACTTTACGTATGCACTTGTATATATAATTTTTTACACATGAGTTGAGGCGTAAGTTACAAGCAAATGTTTTCCTACTTTTGTAATTAATACTTTTACTTAATGAGGTGAATAATATCAATTTCTATTAAAACGTGAAAGATGTTGTTGCGCGTGTGCATCGTCAAAGCTGCAATATAAATTTATTGATAAATATGTATGTTTAAGCAAGGCAGAAAATAAATCTCACTTAACTTATTCACTTTAGGGCGAGCACGGAAACTTGGAAATTTTTTTAACAGTTTTTTTTTTATATTAAAATTTGTAAATTTATATGTGCTACGTATTACCAAATTCAAATACGAAATATAATTGTGCTTAAAGTTGATTAGAAATGAATCAAAACAATAGAACAAATTTGTATACTTGAATGTCTACTTTTTGATTAGTTAGTTATTTGTTTCAATAAACAAATATATTACATACATATATAGACAAATGTGATATATATTTAGTAATAGGATACACTAGTTTGACACACCTGACTTATAATGTAAATGTATGTAAACTATAAATATGTGTAAACCATTAGATGTAAATATGTTTTAATCAAATCTACTCGTAAGTGCCTCTTTCGCGCTGTAAATAAGCGTTTTAATGTTGCGACTTTAGTGCAGTTGATAAAATAGCGGTGAATAGAACAAAAGTGCGGTTGTTGCAACGAAATCAAAGAAAAGTACTTAAAAATTAAAATTAATCAGCACTAAGCGCTTATTGAATTTACAACAAATACAACATGTCTAATGTAAATAAAGTTTCAATGTTTTTTCTTTTAAGTGTCGGCAGTATGTGAGCACTTTATTGATGGTGGTGATAAAAGCAATGTGCAACATGTGGCAAATAAATAAAATTCCTTAAAAATTTATTAATTATGGCAGTTTTGTGCACTTATATACATATATATTACAGTAAAAGATAAACAAATATTATGGCTCGCCAGTGTTTAATTTTTATTTTTGATTTATAAGATTGCATGTTTTTATAACAAAAAATTCTATTTTTTCTCTGACTTGGCAGAATTCAGTTAAGAAGTCTAAAAGATACAGTTCTGTTATTTTTACGTTGCATAAGCATACATATATACAAACCCGTGTAAAATATTTATAGATAAGCGCATGTTTATTTCGTGACTTTCTTCATCTTTTAAGTAAATAAATGCACTAAGGGTTTTAAGGTATCTGGCAATATTTATAACTATACTTATAGATTATTTGTTTTGAGAACAATTTTATTGTTTTACGCGTTTTATGGAAATTTGCAGTTGGCAAAAATAAAAAAAGAAATTAATTATGTGTAATGTGTGCAGTTTGTCATATTATTAATGAGTAGACGCCATATAAATAAAATAATAAAAATAAAAACAAAGAATAATAATAAACAAAATGTGTAGAACCAAAAAAAAAAATCTACTAAAGAAAATTATAATATATATGAAAACTATATATGTTTTTTTTAATTTAACAAAAAAATTATTTTGAGCTAAAAAATGTATTTTAATAATATTCACTAAAATTTGTTTTTTAGAAAGGAGAGACTACACGAAAAACCTCAAGACATATTCTGAAATTAAATGGAAAGGAAAAACGTGAATTCTTAAACTCGTTTGATCGCATATTCTCCGATGTAGATGGTAAGGATAGAAATTTGCCAGGAACTTACGATTGTTATAAGAGCCAGAACATTCGCTGAAACCGAAAATCAACACAATCACTTTGTCATGCCGTTTTAACCAGTTTCTTTTACCAGTTGTTTGTTCGATGCACCACTCGTCAATTTATTTCAGAAAAATTGTGTGAATTTTCGAGATAAGCCGATAAACCATAAATTTACAGACTATATCTTTTGGGCTGTAAACTTGTGTAATTTAATAACTGGCCATTCCCTCTCATCCACAGGCGTAGTTTGGGCGCGTGATGAGTACATTCCGCGTGCTGCGGAAGGGTTCAAAGCACTCGCGAACGCCGGTAAAAAATTCAGCTTCGTAACCAACAACGGCGTGCGAACCATGAGTGAATATGCACAACGTTTCAAAGAGCTTGGCATCGAATTTAATGCGGTTCGTCAACGACTGCCGTCTATTTTAATTATACTCATTATCTTATATATATATATATATACTTGTATATGTATTTTAGAGCGAATTTGTGTATCCCGCCAAGAGTGTTGTGCAATATCTCGATAGTATTCGCTTCAAAGGGCTCATCTACGTTATGGCAACCGATAATTTCAAGAACAGTCTACGCGAAGCGGGCTATGAATTTATTTTTGGTGTAAGCACACGCTTGTATAAAAAGAAACTTATTTTTTGTTTTACTTAATCAACACTTTCCCTCAATACCAGCCTTTGAAAATCATTAAGGAAACTTACAGCGAGTTAGCCAATCATATCTTCAGCGATGAGCCGGTGCGCGCCGTTATACTTGATGTTGACTTCAATATGTCTTCGTTGAATCTCATACGCGCACATCTCTTTCTGCGTCACCCGGATTGCATACTGATTTTAGGCGCCAGCGACAAATTCTTACCATTCGCCAAGGGCGTGGATATCATCGGACCATGTTCGTTTGCGCAAATCATCGCCGATTCCAGTAAGAAGCGTCTCATTACGTTGGGCAAGCCGGGCATAGAATTGGCGGAGATGCTGTTGAAGAATTTTGACATAAAAGAGAGGAAGCGCGTGCTTATGATTGGCGATATGTTGGAGCAGGATATTGGGTTTGGCTCGCAATGCGGCTTCCAGACGTTGCTTGTGCTGAGCGGTGGTTGTAATTTGGAGAAAATGCAAGCGGAAACCGATCCAGTTCATATACCAGATTACTATGCTGACAGTATGGGGGATTTCAATGAATTTTTGAAGGATTTCAAGAAGGCGGAAGTGTGAGTAGTGGTTTGTTATATACATTAGGGTGGTACTAAAAATTTATACTAAGATTCGTTGAATTTTAGCCACTTAATTCAATATATTTTAGCCCAAAAATGTAATTTCAGTGTATTGCAATATAAAAATAATTATTTTAACTATGAGAACCGCCCTAATAAATACTAATGAATTATCAGTTAAGCTTTAGGATTGTTATGAGACTCAAATATACTTTTAAAATGTATTCCGTTTTCATATATATATTTCGTATTATAAAACAAGTTGGTTTCAAGAAGATTGTGTTTTATTTATGACGTTTGCAGGCATTTTACTAAAATATTGAACAATAAAAGCAAGTTATATAAACAAACATGTATATATATACATGTAAAACTATGAAAGAAATCCATTCAAATCGGCCAAGCGTTCGATTACATAATCCGGCGTGTCTGTCTCAGTTAGCTCTGATTTCAAATCCTCTGGCGTTGTAGTGCCGGTGAGCACGAGCAGAGTTTGAAAACCACACACTTTGGCGAAGCTAATGTCTGTAACAATGCTGTCACCGATAAAGAGACAACGACTTGCATTCTTGATATTATGCTGCTTCATTATAATGTCGCGTAAGGCCATGCCAGGTTTGCCCAATATTAAAGCCTTACGCTGTGCAGTATTTTCTAGCACCGATATATATGGACCGGGTCCTTGAAAAAAGTGAAATATTTATTTATTTATTTGCGACAAAAGAAGGAAACTTGATATCTCAAACTTTAGTACGAAAGTATTCAAAAAATACTTTTTTGCTAACTTGAATGGGGGAGATACCTTCAAAATTTGCAAAAAATTAAATAAAAAATTTTCACTCTAATTAATAGAAAAAAAACTATTCAAAAACATTGTCCCGAAGATTCATTGGTTTACTCTGAAAATTTTCGAAGAAATAGGTCCCAGAACCACCTCACTCCAAGCAGCGGCTGTATAGTATCAAAACTTTGAGGCTCGTTTTCTCCAAATTAACTTTTTTTATCCGGCCATCAAAATTGCGAGCGATTTACTTTAACTAAAGCGTATTTCATAGACGATTTTATACCCAAGTGCGTGATAGAGCGCTTTTCCGAGAAAAATTACATTTCGACAGTTGCTTAACTATTTTGATGTCGAAAGACACAGATAAAAATTGCAGGTTTTTTCTTTTCAGATAAAAAGCCTAGCCAGGAAGTTGACGGCGAAAAAAAATGTCAAACAATGAAATCGTTACTAGAGGTATAGTATCCCTCCTTTGGCAGGTCTTTTCATTTCAATAAAGTTCGGTCATATACTACTTCGGTCGTATACTACTCATCTAACCTAATTTTTGTAAATTGAAAATTTTGGTAATCTTACCTACTTTTGTTATGTATGTATGTGCTTTTATGATATGATTAGTAGACGTCAGCTGAACCAAACAAATTCGGATTCTTTTCATAATTTTTATCGTATCGACAAAACTTTATTAATATTTCTCAACTCAGCTCGCCTGTTACAAAGCTAAGCTCGAAAAGAATATTCTACTTTCGTTTCATATTATAACCAACGAAGTCACCAATTTCCAAATAATAGTTCTCTAAAATCGATATTACAGTATAGTATACAAATAAATGTCATTTAACAAACTGTCGTCGACTAAGATTGAGATGTGAAGTTCTCTCTGGACGAACAAAAACAAATCTACGCCAATAAAGAAGAAGAATAAAATATTATTAGGAAGCCTTTACCTATAACATCCTTTCCGCCGACAGTGATGAGTGTGTCAGCTGCGCCGCCAATAAATAGGCACTCCGGATTCTTTTTCAAATAGCCATGGGCGCGCATCAACTTCGATGCCGTCAAATTGAAATCCACATCAATAATAACTGCCTTAACGGGGTCATCGCTGTTTATGACCGCACGCAAATCGTCCAAAGTTTCTACGTAACCGACGAGCTGGAAAAGTAAAGTGCACTTACTACACATATTTACCGAGACGTCGCATACAAATTGCTCACCTCTTCCACCACATCGAAGCCAGCATCACGGAGCAGCGACTTAAACGCTTCCGAAGTGAGACAGAAGATGAGACCATCAAATTGTATTGATTTCAAGTGATCGCAAATTGTCTGCGCTGGATGCACAATCTCATGCTGTGCGCGCGTTCCGAGAAAGAAAGACAAAATATGAATATCCATAATTTATACCGGCGCTTGGGCGAACACATTGTCACACTACCTTCTTCACCTCGATACCGAACCTTTCAAATTTTTTCAATTGCATATCAATGGGTACTATGCTATTGTTTGTGACATAAATGACTTCTTTGCCCTGCTGTTTGAGATAATCGATCGCTTCCGGTGAGCCAGGCAAGAGCTCATGTAGTGTCTGCCATATGACGCCTATTGATCAAAGCAGATTATTGGCATAATACATTGGGGTGTCACAATGATGTCCATATAGTGAAGGGTGTTTCAAGGTGGCTTTCGAAATATGTATTTTATGTTCCTGACTTACCATCGCAATCGCAAAGAATAACGTCGAAGGAGTCGAAAAAGTCTTGCTTCTGCTTCAGCGTCAGTTCATTGAGGTACTTGATGGCATTTGGATTTTGTGGATATTTCAACTCTGATATTAGCTCGGAACTCGATTTCTTAAATAACGAAAATAGAAAATGAGTAAAACTCTTAGTGGTGTCTTCAAATAAAAGCATATTAGAAGATTTACATAACAAAGTATCGTATCATCTAATGGACTTATGAAACTACTTATCTAGACAGCTCACAAGTATTGGAAAAGTTTTACACCTTAAGGAGCCTACTTCCTAACTTCTGGAGTAATCATAAATTTTTTAGTGAATTTTTTGTTTACGAAGATTCGAATGTGAATGGGGCAACCTTTCCGATTGCACATATTTTTTGGGTAATTGAAAGAAGATTTGCTTTCGTGGCCTCCTCCTTTACGCCCATTGTAGTTTACTTGCTAAACGCCTACGTCCGCTTTCAATGTAAAACTCCACAATATCGCTCACTTTAAGTAAGGTTAAGTTTGGTTAAGAGGCCGAGCCCAACAGGAATCTTACTTGGACGGTTTAGAACGTCGGTGCGATGTGGTACCTAAACCTCCTATATAATAGATCATAAAACCCTTACTTATCCGTGATGTGTCGCAGATTCGTCTCCCCGCGGTTCATCTTGGATATCACTACATGCAGCCTACGCGGCCTTACATCTAATATGGATCTCTCACTTTATAATTTAGAAATCAAGCTTCAATGAAAATATCGGAATAAAACTTTGTGTTCTCCTAGAAATGATTAAAATCGAACTATATGTTTTCAAGCTCCTAGACTTAATACTTCAGCGCCTGGCTTTGTACCGAAAATATAAGCTAAACTGTAAGATATCTTAATGAAATCGAGTGCATATCTTTTCCTAATTGCATTCTTCTCAATGAGGTGTCTGATGCTTTCTGCTCAGGGTGAATGACCGTAAAGAAAACTTTCCTTTACCTTTTATTATTGTTTTTACCGAGTTTAGAATAAGGATAAAGTCACGAATTTGGTCTGCTCGGTTATGATACCCACAAGATCGATTCAGTAACGGGGTAACGTTTTAGCTGATTTGTCGATTCAAAATTTTGCTATTAAAAAATATCCGGAGTGGTGTGGAAGAACCGCACAGTTTCAGTTTCCGTAGAACTGTAGCAACAAACTAGTTTCTTTATGAGCTCTAAGGCTGGGTGTCTCTTAGAGCAAGCAACTGAATAAGTCAGTTAATACTTTCGACTCAAGAAAAGTAACGCCGATTCACAGCAAGATTAGGTAGTAAGACCTAAGGTTAAGATAAGGTAGTTTCTACTCACTACATTTTCACATTTGAGAAATTCACTAATCCTGAAAGCACTTTTGTTTGCACACCAACCAGGATATTTGTTTCTCGGAACTCTTCTAAAAATCTTTTGAAACATTTCACTTGCACAGCCAGCTCATACCTCACTGTTAACTTTATGCTCCATTGCGCTTCGACACGAGTGCTCCGAACTCGATAACTGTGAATCTCTTCAAGTGAAAAGTAAAAACCGCTGCGCTGCGACACTGAACGCTTTTCAGTTAAAATGCGCTAAATTATTCAGCTTGCTTTACACGGGCACGACCCGACGTTAACTGATCTGAAAGCTGATAAAAATGTAACTGATTCAATCGCGTTGCACCGGGCTTGTCGGGGGAGTACTCATTACCCATTCAAATCCTCAGCTACCTACTATATATTACTCGTATATTTATGTACATATGTATATGCATATGTATGCATATAAGTGTTGCTGACATTACTTACATTTATTCATACCTATCGTAAGCCATTAGCGACAGCTTTTCCGCGTTGAGTCGCCTGGATTAAGACAATTGCTGGAAGACATTGAAGAGTATCTGTGCGATGGCATACAATTCAATTTAGGCATGACGTGCGCCCAACTGCTCTCCGCCAAGCTGCCTTAACTGCTGAGGGAGCGGTGTGAATTTTAGCGCGTTGCTGCTCTGCAAGACTCTGTCGCGAGCGATGATATGCCTATATTATGTTTACAAATATTACAAAATATTGTTGTCGACTACGAGCGTCGCGAAATATGTCCGAGTATTTTGAAGAGCAATTCACCTTTTGTGGCCTTATAGTGAATAGTTCTTTACAAGACCAACTAAATGCCACCGACTTGTATCTATTAGTATCATCGAAATCGCACTACGAGAGCAAAACAAACGCTTCGTGTTCTACTGTATCTTCTGCCTCGTCCTTAGTTTTTCCAAATGTTTCAACCATCCAGTAGGGTCCTTTGAGCTCAGTGAACAGTAGAATACCATGAGTTTTGAAGAAAATCGAATTGAAATGGTTTCAACAAAAACTTTGACGACACTGCAAGGTGCGTTCTTGGAGTTTTGAAGCGTTTGGTGCGCCATATTCGACATATTCGGCCCGAATATCACGAAGATGAAAGTTTGTTGCACGGTAATGCGCCGTCTCATCGATCGACGCTTGTGACCGATTATTTGACCAAAAATCACATTTTTACCATTAACCACACCCCTTATTCACCTGATATGGCACCGTGCAACTTCTTCCTTTTCGGAAAAATTAATTTGCCCATGAAAGGAAAGCGTTATGCAGACGTAAAGGCTTGCACTGGCATACTGGCGGCCAATGAGCTAAAACACTCGTTCGACATGCAAAATCTTCGACAAAAACTCAATCGTGGAAAGTTACTACAAAGCTTAAGCTCTGAGAGGTTTGTACATCCGAGATTTTCCAGGTTTTAATGCATGTGTTAGAGTCATCTTTCAATGATTCCACTAACACCTTTAAGGTCCTAAAATGGCAGGCATAAACGTCAATATTTTTTTAATTACAATATCAACCGCGAGTGCTCATTGTAAATATAATCTTTCAATATAATCATAATGTAAACAATTCATTTAATCATCCCTTAAACAAAACAGGTTCTTATCTTTGTTGGAATTGGTGTGGGTATTAGGTCTACTATTTGAGTATGTCGAAATAAAAATTGTTCGTGGGATTCTTGAGTAAATCTGTTATACCAATCATGTGTTATTGGCTTGACTAAGTACATGAAAATTTGTAAGTTACGGTTATCGGGTCTTAAATTTGCCCACTTGTTTTTAGGTTAATCAGTAATTCATAATATCACTTTGGTTACAGCCTCCGTAGTTAAAATCGAGGCTATTGTGTTTCGAATATTACATTCCGAATCAGAAGCATAAAATACCTCAGGATTTTTTTGCTGAAGTGATCTTACTTAGTCGCATCCGTGCCTTTTTTGTAGACCCGTTTTTAAATCGAAATTTGTCAGCTAGCAAATAAAATAGTGCAGACTAAAAAAATGCTTTCATTTCAATAATGAAAAAAAAATAATTTAAATATATTAGATTTTGAAGCAGTGCCGGTTCGACTCAAATAATCGAATCGATGGCTCTTGATGTTCAGCTACAAATTAGATGAAATCGATTTCGAGAGTAACTAGGTGAAGAGATCAGATTGAAGAAAAATACATGGATATGTTGAAAATTTATTTGAAAAGTGGAAGTTCCATGAAACCATTTCGAGGTTCCCTACATTTTAAAGAAACAACACAGAAACTTCAAATTTAATCCAGGAATATTTTCTATCATTCGAAAGGTATTATCTCTTTCAAATGTTGGCCGCAGTACGTCTCAGTTGGTCCATCCGTTGTGTACAATTTTCGATGACTCGTTCGAGCATTTCGACTGGTAACTAGCGAATGATATGCATGATGTTTCGCTCCAAGGCCTGAATCGAAGCTGGATTGTTCGCATAGACTTTACATATCCCCACTGGAACAAGTCTAACGGTGTGATATCAAACGGTCTTGGTGACCAATCGGGCGACCAAAAATGTGAAATTATCTGCTTACTAAAGTGTTCTATCAATAAATTCATTAAATGATGCGATGTGTGAGAAGTGACGCCGTCTTGTCGTCGACATCTCGAGCTTCAATTTTAGGCATCAAATAGTCGGTTATCATGGCGCGATTACGTTCTCACCGGTGTCATTTGTGTGTCTTTTTATTTCTGAAGAAATATGGACCAATGATTCCACCGTCCCACAAACTACACCAAAACGTTATTTTTTCTGGATGAAATGTCAGCTCTTGAATCACTTCAGGTTGCTCTTCGACCCAAATGAGGGAATTTCGCTTGTTTACATACCCAAAGAGCCAGAAATGAGTCTCATCGCTGAATAAAATTTGTCTCGAAAACGTCGAATCTTCTGGAACTTTTCAATAGCCCATAAAGCGAAGCGATGTTGCTTGGAATGGTTGAGCGGCTTCAGTTCTTACACAAGCTGTATTTTGTACTCTTTCAATTTAAGATCGACTCCACGGTCTTCGGATATGCTCTAAGCCACGGCTGCCAGATTTTCTTCACTGCGTGCTGGACTTGGTCTATTTGGACGTATATTATTCAATAATGAAGACTTGAAAGCCCTTAAACAATTGGCATATCATACTTTCTATATGCCGGCGGTTCGTGTACCATTCGCTCATTTGACTTTAGAATAGATCACACCAGCATTAATGAGGGTACAGTAATAAAAAAAAAAAAGTTAAGACCTTAAAAAAACTTGTGTCCTGTATGTACATATGTATGGCCTCTAAGAATTTGTCATCCGGATATATTATTCCTTAACCCCATAGTGATGAATTTCCGGCTCTCTGGTCAATTTATATCGCAATTATAGATTAGGATTTTATTTTTATACATACATACGTATGTGTGCTAAAATTGGGTGCAACCGGTGTTAATCTTTCCCATAATCTTACCCTTGTTGCTATTGTTGCAAATTTATTAATTTTGTTTTATCAAAGAAATTTCGCTTTCGAACGCTTCCAAGTGCTATTTCGTATTAGTTTATTTTCATTTATTTATATGTACTTGCATACATACATATGTGTATGTTCATGTACATTATGTATTGTACATATAAGGTACTGTTTGGATTGTATTACTTGCGTTTCATATGTGATGCCACTTAAAGAATATCGGCGAATAATGCAAATGCATTCAATCACTTGTTTGTGTGTTTATTTACATGCGTACATATGTACATATGAATAGAGGAATATGTGTTGTGTAAATAGAAACATAGGTATATATGTACATATGTATATTTAGAACATATTTACGCTTTCCACACATAATAATAAAATCTCATATAAAATATACAAAAGTTCGTAAATAATTTTCAAACATTTAACAGTACATACATATTTCATAATAGCATAATTACATAACGAGTATGCACCCATACATACATATGCGTGTATATGTATGTGTACATATATATAATATATAGATAGAATCTGGTAAATAATGTCTTAGTGTTGTAGTTGTAATTGTATGTGAATAGGTTAGTTTTGTTAACATTGAAAGAGAAGTGCAATTTGATAGGTACACGAGTTGTTTGTATGTATTATGTATTTATGTATATTAGGGTGGTTAAAAAAAAAATATTAATGACGCATTTATGGAATTCATGTACTCACTATATACATACATACATATAGAATATATCCATATCCCTGAAAGACAGGATTTTAAATTGTATTTTCAAAGGTGTTGTTTTTAATTTTCTATGTCGCGCATTTCAGCTTATTTTTTGTAGTAAACAAAAACAATAAAAAGGAAACAAAGTGTAACAAAATTTGAAACTTCAAAATTTCAAATTATGCAAAAAAAATTTACTTCAAATACTTTTTTATATTAAGAACAAAAAAAAACAAAAAATTGTGCCAAAAAAAAATTGGAAGATTCAAAAAAAAAATAAGAATAATAATAAAAATAAATAAAATAAAAACAAAAGAGTATCAAAAAAATTTTGAAAATTCAAAATATCCCAAAAATGTGCTTCAGATGAGTTTTTATATTAAAAAAAATGTCAAAAAAAAAATTTCAGAATCGATAAATTCAAAATATTCAAAACATGTATTTCAAATGATTTTTTATATTAAAAAACACAAAAACAAAAAAAGAAACAAAACAGTATCAAAAAAATTTTTTTTAATGGAAAATTCAGCAAATTTTAATGTTTTTTGTTTAAAAATGTTTATATTTAACAAAGAAACCTGGGTTGAAATAAAAGAGTTAAACAATACCGAAAGAAAAGAGTAAACATACAATGTGTTCTTAAATATTTATTCTCTCTTGTGAAATGTTCCGGTTCAATATTTAACAACTCCGGTGATAACTCTAGTAGCTCAAAAATTCTATCGAACTTTTTGTGATAAAATCACTAATATCTTTTGGCCAAATCATATCAAGTTTGGTTTTCGCTAAAGTGATTTGGTTTTCATAAACTTTGTGCTCAAATTTTTTCGAAGCTTTAACGATGTTTATAAAATTTCTATTCTTTTTTTGAAAAAATTTCGACACAGGTGGATTTTTAAGGATATTTTATGCTCTACAATAAACCGCTACGTAACAAATTTGAACTTAAACGGTACGAAAAGGCTTTTTCGACAAACTTATGACACCTTTTAATATGAAGGCTATTCTAGATTAGAAATTCGAAGAAATTGGAAATTTATTTATTTCGTGGATCGATAGTTTAGATATTAAAAAATATCTGCCTAAAAGGATTTTTCACAATTCAAATTATTTCTGAAGTTACAGCGGTTTTAGTGTCGTGGTAAACTTTAAATGCATTTTTTCTACTCTTCCCTACTTTTTTCGTTGCAGTTGCCACAATATCTCAAGTTTTAATAAGCCGATTTGCTTGAAATATGGCATGAATCTTTTTTTACTGCAGATAGGTATCTCTCCACTATAAGCAGCGATAAGAAATTAAGAAATGAAATTTTCTAATATTGACAAATTCAAAACTTTGTGAAAATATCGATGTTTATTTTTGAGCAGTTTACATTTTATTAAAAATATAAATTTTGCAGCATTTTGAGATAGCAATTCCCAAAACAGCCGGTTCTACGTCACCGGAATTGACCTAGATTTTATCCGGCCATGGACTGTTATTTCGGAGACTTAACGCCGTTTAGATCGATAAGTCTTAGTATAACATCATTTGTATCAAGAGTCCATCATGATTTGTATCAAGAGATATCATGGCGACGAGAACACGGTTTCTTATTTCCTCTTTACTTCAAGTACGCATAACTCAATAAATTTATTTATTTTTAAATAAATTCTGTGTACTCTTCAAGTATAAATACATAAACAAATGATGAAAAAAATGGATGGAAAATAGCAATGCTTTTTTTATCATTAAAAAAAAACAAAATATTATAGCATATAGTAAACATATCATATAATTTATCAATTAACAATTAAAGAACACTCGAAATTCGCGCCATTAGACTAGAATAACCCAGTAAGCTAAAAAAAAAACCTGCCCTGCATGGATATTTTTTTTCTCTATATAAATATGTTATTTTTAAGCCAGAAATTCAAAATACTTTTTTTTGACACACCCTAATGTATATAAAATTATTTAAGACTGCTTGCTTTCAGCTTGAGTGAGTATAAATGTAAATATGTAATGATTTTTTATTAATTATCATTATTATTATTCTGGTTTTTTATAATTTATATGTTTGGCTGGCGTTTAATTAATTTCGTTAAAAACTGCTACTATTTTTAGTTTTTAATTGTCTACTAATTTAAAATAGCCTTTTGTAGCAAAATGTGTTAATCTATTCAAATTCTGATTTATTAATGCTTTTTAGCTTTTACTCAGTACTATTGCTACGAAAAATGGACACACACCTGCTGGTATAAATATATAAATATTTATATATTCGTCTACATATGTGTGAACATGTGTAATTGTGGCGCGTTTTGACTCAACTACAAACTGTTTGCTTTATAAACATATGAAATATTTACAATACATATAAAAATTTTAACATTTATGCTCGTACTTTAAGGCAAATGTGGCTGAAAATGCAACGAATCGGATAAAAAAGAAATCAATTTTTCCATATTATAATTAATTAACAAATGTTTTGACGTATGCGTTCAGGCTTGGCGTTAAAATTAAATATTTTATTGCTTTTTTTTATGCAATAGCTGCTTTATATAGCCTACTTGCATACACACATATGTATGTATTTATATTGTATGTATGGAATTTTTCTTTGCATATTACAAATATAATAATATCTCTTATCTCTTGAGCAGTTTTTTGTTACTATTTCACTGGATTTTTGTTGTTTTTGTTTGCTAATTAGCAGTATTTACTAAAAATTTAATTTTTTATATTATATTTACATAGATAACAGTTACAAGTACAACAACGGTGATGTTGCAGCTTAAAACACTTTAAGTACCTAACAATATTGTTATTTCAATCCAACAAATTCACACACACACACACACTCAAATGTGTGCGGCATTCTTAATGCAGTCTAGAAATATTCGCAATGAGTTAAGAAAAAATTCAATTATTATAAAAAATCTACAAACCGCCTACAAACATATTTTCTAACTATTTTTTGCTTTTGCTTTTTGTTTCTGCTCTTGTGCTTGCGCAATCACCTCTATATGTTAATTATAGCCATTACATAACCCCATATTATACCGTATACAATGTATAAAACAGGTATGCAGAAGCATTTCGTTCGCCATTGGCTTACAAAGTAAAACTATTTATAGCGTATATTACAGTTAGCAAATCGTTGTTCTACAGCGGCGTTGTGCGCTCATTTCTATAAACGACATTATCATTGTCGCCATAATCGCGTTGCACCGTCTGCGGCTGTGCCGTCGTCGTCTCCTTGTTGTTAGCGTAGAAATCCAATTTCTCGTCTTCGTATTGCGCTTCGTCTATGGCACGACGCGCTGCTGCCTTTTCTGCCGCCGTTTTCTTTTCATACTCGATAATGTGTTCGCGCAGTAGGAAACCTTCGCGTTCGATGCGCTTGCGCAATTTGCTCGGCTCGTCGGCAATAGCCCAAGCGATTATGCCTTGTATCATGCCGATGACGTTCTGAAAATGCAGAAGAGGCGGAGGAAATGTTAAACGGTTAAAATCTCGAAATTGAACTAATCTAAAGTAAAGCACATCAAATTATTTTCCATTTTGAGAGAGATGTTGGCTGTGGCTGCTGCTTGGAAACCGTCTTAATAAATAAATATGAATGTTTATATTTTGTACCTTCGACTCCAATCGTCCATTAGTATAGGATCGGATTATAGGATAGGATTATCGCTTAAACTCTAATCTTACATAGTTGAATGAATCAGGATGCCAGATTCCACACTGGCTCAATGTGTAGAAGATGATTTTAAGCAACTACTATACGCTCGAATCATACCTTAAAAAGGATCGGATTACGATGTGAATCTATAGATTCGTTCCCACGACAGTCTATTCTGCGTTATCCCTCAAATGTTTGAGGAATGTTTTCTTTAGATATATGGAAGATAAACTTCAAGTTAAGCATTATTTTTTCAAGCAGTACGATAGTAAAGGCGATCTTTCCGACATTATCGCTTCCTCGCTGCACGGAACCTAACACTTTCCCCTACTAAATCCCCCGCGACCATATTCACTAACTGAACGAGGGTGTAAAGACTTCACATTAGGCGTCCTAGCCGATGGCGTTAGAATTCCGACTGTCAGTAACCCTAAGATTTTAGGCATTCGATAGCCAGTGCTTCTTCACTTCTCATACGTTACGTTAACTACGCCACACCACTATGGTCGCCTGGAGGCAGTGAAAAGCAGACGAGAAACTACAGACATTTGAGAACACTCCGCTCTCCGGTCGTAGTAAGTATGCCTCTGATGTTTCCCGTTTAATATCTGCACAGTGAGGCCCGCAAGCAAGTGACTGCAGGGCTAATCTTCTGTCGTTACAACAACAACATCATCAAGAGGTCCTTCCTTAACTACGTCGACGACATAAAGCAATACGCCGACCGGACTTCGGACGCAATAAACTTCAGACATGCATTGATCGTCATTCAAAGTGGAGCCATTAACACCTTCACCGACTCCCCCTCAGTCTATGGCGTATTTGGAGTCAAACCACCACCCATTGAAGACGAAGAGCCCAAGCTGCCGCGAGAATCGAAAGTGACCCGGAGCTTCGTTCTGGGTATCGTAGCAGGTAAAACTCCTATTTATCCATAATTGAACCCGATATATCAAACAAATGTCCAGCGAGCAAATGAGTCCACGGATGACACTAAACGCCTCTTTGCATGCCCTGCTAAGCCTGCATATCGGACACCCCTCTCTATGGTCCGAATTTATATACTCACTTCAAATATTTATAAAACCGAAGGATGAATTATACAGAGTGAATAATTTTTGCTTTCTAACCTGAAAAATTACGATAAACGCCAGACGTCCCGTTAGAATTTTCCAATAATATGTGGGGCGCTTATATGGTTGTTCATCCCAAGGAGAATTGCGGAACTCAGTATAACGACAGGAGGTTACATTCTCATAAATGCTCCCCCGCAGCACTGGTTGTACCTAAAAGTAACAAAGAAGTCATTAGCCCGATTAATAGAGTAAAAAAATTTTTTTAAAAATCATGCGACCCACCTGGAAGTCCTCTGTGTTGAAGTAGGCCAGCGTAAAATTCAGATAACCTTCTAAGGATGCGTCATTTGTGGCAGTTGTGTAGACCAGTTTCGGTATGAGATTTGTGGAAAATGCAATGATCATAGCCTGCAAGTATATTTTGAAAAAAATTAATGAAAACTTTTATTTTATTTATTATGATTATTATGCAAAGGCTTACGCTAGAAGCAACGGCAATGCGCGCCACGATCGCCATCATGTTGTACCATACGCCAATATTGCTAGCGCGCTGCGCCACCGGACGTCTTATGAGCTTAAGCATTTTTATGGCATCTAAACGCACTTCTATGACGTTATTAATTAAGGCCAACAGCGGCGCTAACGGGAAGGCCAAGCCGAAAAGTGTGATGAAGCCAAACTGCAAAACTGCCAAGAAGAGGAAAGAGAATAAGCGCGTATATTTTTTGTTTAATACTCCAGGTATTGACTCACCCATTTCCAAATACTCCGAGAATAGTGAGTTCGTATTCGATGGCTCTAGGTGATAATCTTCTGTCCACTGATTACACGATATCAGTTTCTCTTCACTCTCGACTTTGCGCATGCCCATGCGCGCAGAGAGCTTGCGTATGCAACGCATGATATATGGAAAGAGCATCTCAACGATGGCGTTGACCGCCTGCTTGCCGACCATAATGATGACCAGCTGCATGCAAAGCTCCATCAAACAGCCGCCGGGATTGCATTCTTCCTGTCGGAAGCCCAAGATGCGATTATATTTGGCAGGATACCCAACGAATTTGCCCTTCATGAAGGCGATATAAAACAGCGAGGAATAGTAGTTGACAAATTGAAAGATATAATTTTTGACTGTCAGACTTTCATCATATTGCGTTTGGGTGCGACAATATTCCATATTTGTGAGATAAACGGCCAGCGAAGTGTAGACATAATCGAGCATGGAGATAACGATTAGATCGATGATACCGGCGGTCATAGGAAGCACCATTATTTTGTAGGTCATTGAATTATCACTGCCCAAAATGCTGTGCGATGCTTTCTGTGCCATGCGATAGACTATCATGGAGAAGATGGCGATCAGTGAGACGCAGATCTGCGAGAAGCAGCGAAAAGTATTGTAATTTAGCAAAAAAAAATAGAAAATAAAAAAAAATAGAGCGTTCTTGTAATTATACTTACAAATAAGACCATAATGCTGTAGCTGGTGAAGCTGGGCAGGAATTTTATGCGCCAAAACGGCACATCGGGTTCCAGTATATTATTGCTTTTCTTCCAACGCTCTGTGATATCTTTGTGCTTTTGTAGTTTGGATAAATATTGCGGACGCGGATGTTCAACGTGCTTTGAGAAGGTGGTCAAACCCCAACGGTGCACTAAAGTGGCAGAATAGCGCTTCCAGAGCTCCAAATAGACTACAGCTGTAAAGCAAAAGTGTATTTTTAGTATTTTGCAATTGTTTTTGTATTAATTTTTACACACCCCATAGTGCCATTATGGAGGCAAACACCACCGTTATGTTATTATCTATCAGATAATTCATTTTCGATGAGTTACAAGTCGTCTCCAAGAGCCAGTAGTCACAATTGCGATCACATTGCGGGCACATGAGTGTCGTTTGGTTATCGTTGCAAATTTGGCGACTAAAATGAAAATATATTGATGAGTGGAAGTTATGAAAAACAATGTGAGGTTAGGTTAAATATTCTTTTGATTTAATTTGCAAGTTCTTCACTTATTTTTTAGTAGCATAACTTTATAAAGGCTCATGGCATACCTTATGGGATCACTACTCCACGTTACAAAGCCATAAATGAAACATAATATGCCCAATACACTGACAGGTATTAGCATGTGTGTGTAGAAACCCAACCAGGCAAAATATAAGGCAACTTTCGCACCAAAATACTCTTTTATGCTGTCCAATGGCTGCAGGCTGCAGGAGAAAATACCATTTCAAATGAGTAAATAAGAAGTAAAGGCGAAAAAGAAGAAGAAAACTAACTGTATCCACTTGCTGAGTGTGGCCCATTCTTGCAGCAGAAAGTCACGGTCCGTATCCTTAGAGAGAAAAGAAAGAAAAAATATTAAACTATTAAAAATCAATTTATAAACATGTTTACACTAGCTTCGGAGGGTTTTACCAACAAAAAATTAAGAACAAAAAATAAAAATAAAATAATAAAAAAAAAGTTGGAAAGTGTGAATTGCAGTATGGAACCCGTTATATACTCTCCAAAAAAAAAAAAAATTCTAAATTTTGTATAAGTAAATACATTTTTTTCTAAAAAATTATTTTTAACCTCACTTTTTGCTCCACAAAACTTACATCATGCAGTGGGTATGCGCTATGATAGACGCGGTCCTCCAATAACTTCTCAATACCTAAATTATCCGGTGTCTCCTCGCCTTCGACGAAATGCTGACGCTCTAATATGAAGCCGATGATCGAGTTGCGCACGCCAGCATCGAAGAAATTCGGTTGCTCCCAGTCGAATCTGTAACGAAGTGAAAGGTGAGTAAAAATAAATAAAGTTTAGGCAACAATGAAACACTTACAAATGCTCATAATTGCGGGAGAACTCAAAGTGTATGCGATATGGACGCTCCGCACTGACTCTTAGCCAACTGAAGATGCGACTGCAGGTAGTGGTAAGAACGTATTTGATACGAAAATCATCTTCCGCTATAAGCTCCTGTCCAGGTATCTGTAACGGGTTCGAAAAAGTAATTTTAAGTTTATTAAACAAATATTTTCATGCGCGTTAGACACTAACCTTCTTCATTGGCAATTTGATCTTCAGTATTTCGGCATAACGGCAGAGCACCTCGAGTGGCGCATGAATTTTGATAAAATGTATGCGCTGCGTATTGTCATGCTCCAAATGCAGACCCTCTTTGATTAGATTCGTTTCGAATATTTCGCGTTTTCGTCTATTTTCCGGTATATAATCATCATCGCCGATATAGGCCAAGACGAAATCCACACTGCGTTTGCCATCTTGGAAGCGTCGACGTGTCTTTGGTGGCATGTGCGAGGAGTGAATAAGATTTTTGTAATTAATGTTGGTCGACATTATTACCAAGAACTAAGAGGCTACTTAAAGCTACTACAGTTACTGAATGTACAGGTAGCACAAAGCAAGCAATTCTAGAAATTCTAAACATTTACAAAAATTTCTCATTTCTATTAATACAATTTCGAGGCTACATTTGTATATAGGATTTGTGCAGAGCTTAATTGACACAGCAGAGAATTTAAAATTTAAGCGCCTATAATTAGAAACTGGAAATTATTATTAAAAAAAAATTTTTTATACATTTCTAATTGTTTTTTTTTTTGCATTTTTTTCTCAATTTGTTTATTTTTTGTATTGCGATTGCGTATTAATGCTTTTATAACAAAAAAATATTTTGAAAATTTAAGTAAGTTAAAAAGAAATATTTTAGCTCATTTGGAAGAAATGTTTTTTTTTTTTTGTTTTTTGTTTTGAAATAATAAACGTGTGCCAAGTTTGGTAAAAACATTACAAATGCAACAAAATTAAAGCGTGAATGCGATTATCGTATGATTTTATTGTTTTCTAATGGCTCTTGGGTAAAGTTTCTTAAATGCTTTCTGAAACTGGAAGGAAGACGCATTTTTTTTTAACAAAACCCGACAAAAGCAAAAAAACTATAATATGTAAAATTCTATGCATACATATTAGAGTGGCCCTTCACAAAGTCAAATTAATGATTTTTTAGCTGTATACCTTCCGATGGAAGTACTACGGTCTGAGTATCAAACATTTCGAAGATAGTCGAAAGAACGTTTTATTATGAATTTGTTGAGTTATTACAACAATAACAAATATGGAGATATAAGTCATAATATACTAAAAAAAATATAAATGAAAAACAAAAAAAAAAATTATTTTTATTACTTTTAATCGTATTTGAAATCGATACTTCTTTATATAAAAACAAAATATGATTATTAACATAAAGGTAATTTAAGACATATTTATGGTAATAATCATATTTTCCGAAATAGAAATAACATCTAGCGACCAAAGCGCAAAAAAAATTAAAGTAATACATTTAATGATCACCCTAATATGGATACGAGCATCTCGAAATTTATATAATTCAAGTCCTCACATTGATTTTTAAAGATATAATTTAATGTATGTATGTATGTCTTGTTTGAAATTACGTAAAGCCGATTTTTGGGGTTTGAAAAAGTCTTAATAATAAACTTAAAAAAGCTCAAATTGTGTTAAGGGTTTACATGGGTTTACGGGTTTTTTGTTGTCTTCTTAATTTCTACAAAACTTCTAGAATATTGTCCTAAACTTTCAAGTGGATCCGAGTGATAGTTTCAGAGCTACAGCCTTGTGAACTTGTCGAGTTTTTCTCGAAACTCAATTCAGCAGGCAAGATTTCTTGAAAACTACTTAACTGATTTTCATGAAATTTTACACAGGTTCTTGAGATAAAATCTTTAAAGACTTGACGAAGGATTTTTTTCTATTACAACTATTTGAAGAAAAATTCGTAAAAATTTCAATGAAATTTTACTTTTTTTTTAAATGTCTGCCAAAAATTCAATTTTCAGTTTTTCCCTTCGTCCAAGTTCTAAGATAAGGGTAAAACACGTATTTTTTCATTTTAGATGACCTTGTAAGAATTTATCTGGCCAACGCGGGCGCATCGTTTTTTTAGAGGTCACCGGAAATGTCGTCGCAAAGACCGAATTGAAAATATTTTTTTCCAAAAATTTCAGAATTTCTTTGTTGATAATGTGTGATTGTAATAATAAAAAGTTCTAATAAAATATTTAATTTCTTATATGAGAAAAAAATTGTAGAACAAGGCTGTTTTTTATCCGAGGAAACCTATGTAACTCCTTAATAATGGTCTTTGGGAAGAAATCTTACCGAAGATAAATTTTCCTTGTGTTAGAATGGAGTTGTATCTGGTAACTTTAGAGTATATACTCACTATTAGTTATCTTTTCTTACATAAAAATAAATTTAAAAAAATGATAAAAAATGTTAAGCTAAATGTTGCCTACATTTAGGCGCATTTTACAAAGATATATAATAAATAACATTTCTTGTTACTAAATTGATATCAATTAAAAAAAAATTAAAAAACTACTTTTTGAGGTGGTTGACATGATATTTCAAGTTCTACTTAATCGGTTCTTTCGAAAATTCTCGGATTTTGGAAAATCTTAATTTTAAGTATTTTAAAAAAATTTTCGGGTTTGGAAAATATTTTTTTTTTAACTCGAAAAGGTCTAAAAAAGGGGAGCAAGCAAACCGAAGCTGGTCTCGGATTTTGGAAAATTTTAGTTTTAAGAAATTTTGAAAAATTTTCGGATTTTCATTTAAGTATTTTCTAAACGTTCTCGGAAAATCTTAAATTTGAATATTTTTAAAAACATCGAAAAGGTAAAAAAGGAGCTGGTATAGGTTTTTGGAAAACTCTAATTTTAAATATTTCTAAAAAATGCGGAAAGGTCCAATAAAGTCAAATAAAGGGAGCTCAGATTTTGGAAAATTTTAATTTTAGGTAATTTTAAAAAATTATCGGATTTTGGAAAATTTTAATTTTAATTATTTTCAAACAGTTGGAAAAAACACAAAAAAAGGTCAATCCGATAGCGAGATTTTTACTAACGAAATATTTCTTTAATTTGTATGTTTAGATTACTGCAAGGGTTGGAATCACCTCAACTAAGAAGTGCCGTTTTTTTGCAGTCTCCACTCTTCCGTCTTGCAAATAGATACAAAAATATTTTTATTTGTTATGTTAGTTTAAAAAATGTCTAAAATTTAGCAGTCTGGACCAGAATACCTTCTCAAATGTAATTTTTTGTATATAAAAATCATTTACAATAACAGTTCTTCCTGTAGTCACCCTAAAAACGAATTTAGTGCTGTATCAATTAAGCTCTTGCGCTGAAAGCATTTAAATTACTATTAATTATTAATGAGAAATATTTCAATCAATTACAACTACAATAAGGCTRCTCGTTCTTTGTGTATATATGTATGTATGTAAATTAGATACATGTATGTACATACTATGTTACACTCGTTTAAATTGGTTGAAGAATAGCAATGAACTTCGGCTAACTATGAACGTTTTCTAAGAACTTAACTTGATCGTCTAAATTTTTACAGTTAAAGTGAAAAAAAAAGCTTAAAATTGCCTAAAATACTTTTCAACATATTCATATAACTGTATTTAATCATGCGTTGCAGCATTATTCTTAATAAAAATTGCTTATTTTCAATTTAAGCACAACGTGCAAACCTTTTAAGCACATTTATTCAACTCAACACTAAACACAATTCTAAACTCAATACTAAAATCAATTATGTAAGTATAAAATATACTGTTTATATGTACATATGTACATGTATGTTGGTATGTGTATATTATGTGCTAATAAGAAACTTATATTAAATATAAAAGAAAGGAAAAAATTGCCATTACCCGTTCCCGCAAGCGTTCAAGCATTTCGTAACAAAATTCAAAACACGAGTGTGGAAAAAAATTATTCAATAAATTATTCAAGTTCATATCTGTTCATTAAATCAGTATAATGTTATAGTTTCATTGATGGAAAAAGAGAAAATTAATAAAAAAAAAAAAAGAAGTAAAGCAGGAAAGGAAAGCATTTTTTACAATAAATAAATTTTAGAAAATAAGTTCATGGGTATGTACATATGTATGGTTGCTTAAGGGTGTGGATGTTGAATATTATAATGAATACGGTAAAATACTGCGTAAAAAATATATTATTTTTAAAAAAATTAACAAATATTTTCATATAAAATTAGAAAATAAGTTGCACATATTCTTTTAAAAATTTTATTATATTCTTATATGCAAGGGAAATGAGAGATCTTGAGTGATATTACGCTTATGAGTTATGGAAATCTTTATCGAGTATTTTGCTGTACGGATATTCAATGTCTCAAAATATTGGAGTTTGGAATGGAATAAGGACAGTGAGCATGAGAACAAAAACATAATAACGGGTGGTCCAAGTAGATGCAAATTTTATACAGCCCTTTTTTGACAGATCAGGCATGATTCGTGTCAAGCCGTCATGTTATTTTTGTTCAGTATTGCTTGGCAGTCCAACGTGAAAAGACTTACACCTAAACAACGTTTACAGATCGTTCAACTTTGTTACGAAAATTCGCGTTTTCTAAAGAATGAGTTCAGCGCGATTCGCTCAACTTATGATCAACATAATCGGCCTCTAGAGCGCACCATCAACCTCTTGAGACTCAGCATACATTATTGAATTATGTATATTTCACCGAATAGAACACGTTCAGCTCGAAGTGAAGAAAAAATTTGGCAGCCTTAGCTGAGAGTGTACACGAAGACCGTGGAGAGTCGTTTCAGCGCCGTTCGCAGCAACTTGGACTGACGTATGGAACGAATTGGCGAACATTTGAAAAAGATAAGTTTCAAAATATGAATTGTCAAGGAATGGATTGTGGAAATATTATCATATTCGGGAACTAACAGAATTTATTTTCAATATGGCAAAGTTTCTTCGGCAATGATTCCAAAATTATGTGGGGAAAATCTAAAATATTAGAAAAATAATAATAACAACACTAAATCTGGAATTATTAGATAAAATACAAATGTACAAAAAATTTAAATTAAAGGTATTTTAATCTGAACTCAATTAGCAGCACTTATTTTCATAATATTAAAATATAAAAAATTTCGTATATCTAAACAAAAAAAAAAAAACAAAATAAAAAAAAAATACTACCAAAGAAATGCAAAATAAACTTGAAACCTGTTTATACAACACATACTCATAAGTAATAGGAAGAAAGCTAATTAATAAATATATAAGTATGTGTAAAGTGCAGAAGTGTTTGTGAAACAAAATTGCAGTGTGTTTAAAAAAGATTAATTTCTTGCATATAAAAAATACCAATTCGCCAGTACAAATTGTGCAATTAAATTTTGCAACAAAATATAATTATTTTCAAAATTTTGCCACATTCCAGTGTATTGGTGTGTGTATTTGTGTTTTTCATATGTGTGAGAGCAGAAAATTGTGCATAATTGTTAAAAAGTAATAATAATAAAAACAAAAATATAGAAATCAATGCAAATAATTCGAAAAAAAGTCAAATTTCAAAAACAGGAAAATATAACAGGATATGGTGAAAACGCAAAAATATACAATATAGTATATACATGTATGTATGTATGTACAATTGCTGTATATACATGTATTTGTATTTGTAAGCGTTCAAAACCAAAACGAAAGCAAAAAATTCAACTCTGATGTTTACCCTAAATTTCCACTGGGAGTACGTAATTGGCAATTTCTTATCTTTACTAGTATTTGTACTATTTTGTAAGAGACGCTTAGAGACCTCATCGGCATTCAGCTGCGGCGTGCTGTTGCTTTTACCGCCGGCGCTGTTGCTATGGCCGATGCTGTTGCCGTACGTATGCGTGCGTCCGTTGTGCATCGCCGCGACTTGGGCGGCAATAGCCGCATCCGCTTGGTCGCCAGCGCTTAGGCCAGCTCCATTGTTGGCATTCGCATTGCTCGCGCTATTGTTGTAGTGCTCCAAAGCGGATGAGTGACGATAGTTCAGATTGTATGGCAAACGGCTGTTCGGATTGTTCATTGCCGCCGCCGACGCTGCCGCTGCCGCCACTGAGGCATTGCTGCGACTGCTGCCGTTTTCTGAGCGCAAACTACGCCGCTTTGATGGTGTATCTTCGCCGGCTAGGTCCACCGCCGAGTGGTAGATGGTGTTGCGTGATTGGGAGAGTGATTTGCGGTGTGCGGCAGCGACGGCGGCTGCAGCCGCAGAGTCGGCCAGCGAGATTGTGTCGAAGTAGAGGCTCTCCAGGTCGTCCATCTCCGATTCGGGATATTCAACGAAATCGTTTGTGCGCACTATGATGTGTGGATTTGTGGTGGTTGGAGGAAGAGAAAAAGAATATATATTTAGTAAGTGTTTAACTTGCGTGTCGGAACTACAATATTCAGTTTAGTTTGTTATTGAAAGATTGTTATGTATGTAAATATGGTATATAACAACAAAACAAGCAGCGTATAGAAATTGAAATGTCATGCAAGTATTTATTTACATTAACACCAACACCAAATGTCATGCTTCAATGAATCGATGCGCTTAAATGAGTTGTTAAGCAGGGATCTGGTGAATTAAATATTGTAATTACGGATTTCCGAACTAAAGATATTCACTGGGGATTGTTACATGCTAATAGTTTAATATTTCAGAATATGATGTTGAACTTCATAGCATTCATAGTATGGATTTCTTTTGAAATTATATTTTATTAAGGATTGATGGTTGTAGTGTTATTTTGGACAGTTGTTCATGCCAAATTGAACACATTTTGTCAAATAAAAAAGTTTCCTATGCAAATACTTGATTACGATTGGTTTGTATGTCAGCTACACCTTAGAGTGTTCCGATCTACGCGAATCTAGCTCGAACCAGCTTAGGTTTTTTATGAAACCTCTCTAAGTCCGCAGGATCCTGAAGCATTTTCTTCGCTTCAGCTAAGTTTTTAGATAAACAATTATCCATCGCTGTCCAAAAATCACACACAATGAGAAAAACAGATCTTTAAAATGAGAAACCTCGCTCTTGGATGCAATAAACCATAAGTTCCCCCAATTTATTGATTTTTTTTTGCCGATATACGCTGATTATACCTCGATTCCCATGCAATTTATCGAACGCTAGGGAGGTCAGAGCCGCAATTCAATTTCTATGAAAACAAAAATTTCCACAATGCTACAAGATAACATCTCAATGAAGGTTATATATGTTTCGACATCATAACCAGCTGAGAGCTGCAGGTTTGCTCACAACTCAGTGCGAATATATCGCTATCAGCTTTCTGCATATGTGTTTCACTTTCCAACGTGGACAGAGATGCGACTGAATTTGGAATTCTTACTTTATGTATATACTATAAAATATAGGCATAGTATGAAGTCAAGGCGATTATCAAAAACATGGTAATTAATTACATTAAATTAGTACCAGCAGACGGTGTCCATATTGTCCTACTTTAAAATCTGAATTTGCATATTGTAAGATAAGAAAGAAAGCCAGACAAGACCCAATTCTCTACACTCAAAGAAATTTGATATATTTTCTATATACATATATTTTAAACTAAAGGTTACTGCTTCAACTTGTGCCTTGCATCACGAGAGCCGGTTTTAATATAATATGAGTAAGCAGCCACAATTAATACAAGTGACGTAGCCATTGTGTGGAACAATAAAGCTAGTTTTAACAAGAATGCAAATGGGTATTAAATTCATACAGTTGTAAGCATAAAAATAGAAGTAGATAAGTTTTAGAAAGAAGAAAAAATCAGCTTGCGAGAGGAGTTTCAAATATCAAAGAAGTGTGTGTGTATGAGTAACTTATGTAAATAGTTCAATATCTTGGTAAAATAAATGTTCTCTGGGAACGATTTATAGCAAAGTTACTTATCTACTGAGATTTAATAGAAAGAAATACAAACGATTTCAGAAAATAATTTGATTTCGACGGTTCGATATGTTGGGCAGCTATATGCTACAGTGATCCGATCTGAACACTTCCTTCGGATATTAACGTTGCTTTGAACATTAATCGATGACGAATTTCGTGAAGATATTTTGTCAAATATAACATTTTCCCACACAAAGACTTGATTGCAATCGTTCAAATATCGGCGGTTCCGACAAATGACCAACTTCTTGGCGAGAAAAAATCGTGTTCAAAATTTCAGGTCGATATCTTATAAACTGAGGGATTAGTTCACATATATGTACACGGACAGACAGACAGACGAACATCCGGACCCGGATTTTCATCCGGCCACTGACTGTCAACTCGGCACATTCTTTGAAATTACATCAAAAATGCTTTCTGCCGTTACAACAACTATAATAGACTCAGCTCGTCACGCATCATCATTTAACGGGTGATCCAATTAAAGGTAATTTTTTCAATAGCCTTTTTACGGCAGATCACGCTTGAGTTATGTCAAGCTGTCATGTTACGTACGTCGATGGAACGATTTGGCACATTTTACGTCGAGATCTTAAATAAAAAAGATACAAAATCTTGCTGGTGCAAGAACTGAAGCCGCTCTTGAAAAGTTCCAAGTGGATCCTACGTTTTTGAACCAAATTTTGGGATCGAACGATGATTCACGTTTTGGGCCGGTTGATTGGCCACCAAGATCGTGTGATATTACACCCTTAGAATTTTCCCTGTCGGAATATGCTAAGTCTTAAGTCTATGCAGACAATCCCGCTTCGATTCAAGCCTTGGAGCAAAACATCACGCGTATCACTCTCCAGTTACCAGTCGAAATGATCGAATTAGACGTAGCCGCGGCCAACATTTAAAAGTGATAATCCTCAAAAAATAAGTTCCAAAGAATGTTTTTTACAATCATAATAAACATTTCCTATTAAATTTGAAGTTTCTGTAATTTTTCTTAAAAAAAGTAGGGAGCCTCGAAATGAATCACCCTTTATATACATTTATACTTTATACAGTTCCGAAGTATATTTTTGAGTGTCACAATTATCGTGGCAAATTTAACATACCCTGTTCAGGTTACTGAGGGTTAATAAAGAAATGTCAAATTTTCGCTCTTTTGTTGATCAGCTGATAGCTTTGTACGTTAATAATATGATATTTTCAGAGAATCATATTGTGGCAGGGAGTGGTAGAGACGTCAGAATAAGTGCGTATCACGAAAAAATCTATTTTTTTTTTTAATATTAATTTTTTTTCCAAAATTATACTATGTATTGTGTTAGATTAAACTACTATTTGCATTGACAACACCTTTTATGCGTATTTTATGATATTCGATTTAAAAAAAAAATTTTTAATTTGTCTTTATTAAACCAAATATTTACCTTCCGTACCATTTTATTTCATAAGCTAGTCGCTGAACTCACTGAGGCATTTAAAGACTCCCAATTTGTGTCTAATGTGGGGGAAGTGAAATAACAGAAATTTTCAACTAAATGAACGGTATTTTCTAACAAATTTCTAATACAGCCCAGCCGCTACAATTTTTATGAACGCTACTGTATTTAGAGTTAACAATTAACAATTAATACCCTATTTGTGTGTGGGTATATTAAGCACAATTTTTCAGATTAAACTCTTTTGCATACGTATGTGCATATATACATACATACATATATGTATAGTATACCTAACTATGTATGTATCTAATCACCGCTTAATCAGGAAAAATACAATAAATTTTCACTTTCTGTCGTTCAATCCAATTAAACAACTCAATACAACAAAATGAGGAATTAAATAAATAAGTGAAAAGAACAATAAATTGACGCTAGGTCAGCGGCCACTGATTGCAGTTGGTGCCATGTATTATTATTTACTTGAGTGTGTTTGAATAAATATATATAACTATGTGATATGAGAGTAAATGCGAAAACCGCAGAGAAGTTTGTTAATTCAATTTAAAAATTTATTTATTTTTTTATTATTTTTTTAATTTTAATTTGTGCTGAGAATAAAAGTATATACATACATGTAAGTATATACATAAATACATATTTATATCATGAATTAAAAGTCCGTTTTATTTACTTCTCCAGCAAACTAGGTACATGACATTGGTCTTGACGTATTTGGAATCACATCATTTTTTTCGTTTTTTTTTTTTTGCTGTTGAATAAAATATTACTTGCCGTCTATTGTTATTGTTATTGAACAGCTGCGCGCCTAAGCAACAACCACTTTGTGTTATATTTTTCATTCCTAATGCTTTTTTCAACAGCTCTGCAGTCATAAAGTCTAAAAATAAAGCTGCCGGCTATTTTAATAAACTTGGAGGCAAAACATAGAGACAATATAGAGCGCGCGCCCATTGTTCAATAGGCAATCTGAAATTGGGGGAGAAATGCAGGAAGTGTAAGTAACGAGTATAAACAAATACCTGTAACAAAAATTAAAAGTAATCTGATGCTATATAAATATTTTGCTGATGCAATTTGGGAGAAAAAATTTGAAAATTGGCGAGAGTTTAATTTCGGATTTGAAAAGTTTTAATTTTTTTTTTTGTCATTTTCAATATATTTAGAATCTGTTTAATTAAAATACAAAAAATGAAAGAAAGAAACACCTTTTTTGGAGAAATAAAAAATCAAAACTAATACAATTTTTTCCGAAAAATAGAAAAAAAAATTTCGAAAACAATAATTTCGAAAATTGTAGGCAAGTTATTAAAATTTAAAGTTTATTTAAAAAAAAAAAAACACATTACTCTTGGAACGACTTGTTCTCGGAAAGTATATTTTCCAATGCCAAAACCAATTCGAAACTCTTTATATGGTACATATAAATATTTCGAATATTCATAACGTTAATCACCTTTTTTGGAAGGATAAAGAAAATAGAGTAATAAAGTTTAGAAAAGACCATAAAAAATATTTGCAAGTCATATTTTCGAAATTTCTAAAGTCGAAGCAAATTCAAAACAAACAAAAATTAAATAAAAAATA